ATATATATATATATATATATAGCTATCTATATATATAGATATATATATATATATTGGAAACAGATGACTGCTAATATTAATCACTTTTAGGCTTCAAATAATACAGAGTCGGAATCTAAAAATGGCCTAAAATATCTATGTTACATATGTTTATATTACACCTGTGTTACTATTTGACTTGGCTGGAAATGCAAATGCCAGCATATAGAGACAAGTTCTCAAGGTTTTAGAATACTAATTAATCAACTGTAGATGATCATACCATATGCTATGCATATTCACAAATATGCCTTACACTGATGTATGTTTGTAAGGCAGTAGCCCTTCAACGCATGGTACCTTACACTCCCACACTTGCTAAATCTGTGGATATTTGGTATACATGATGTGAGTATAAAAAAAAAATCCTGATGAAGCTTAGGTATGTGAACTGCCGATAGCCAACTGGGAACAAACTTGAGTAAGCTAATTTGGTTATTTCCTATGGTAACATAATGCTCTACTGGAACCCTAAATCTTAGGAAAAATCAACACTGTCACAGTGATCTATAATATATTACTGTGGCAGTAAATGTTATTACAAAAGATACTAGCTGTTATGATACTATCTTCCCAAAAATGTAATTCATCTTTGCCCCAAATATCATATCAGAACTAAGTAAAAGCTACAGCATCAGTAATAATAATGTCATCTGGTTGCCATTATTTTATAGCTTGAGGAACTCCTGTTGGTAAGGACAATCATCCAAAACTTGTAGGGAGACAGGAAAAGATACTGGTTTTGCAAAGCAAATATTTTAAAGTGAAATGCTTCATTTGGTTCAAGAAGCAATCAATAAAATTGTAATTGTATACTTACAGTGACCCATCCAAATAGGCATTTACCGCTTTTCTGATAATCAGTCCAATATTTCCATTTTGTTCAGCCACAAACTTTGCCAAACTGTTAAATGTGAACAAAGGTTATGTTAAGATTATATGGAATCAGATATTGTTAAATTATATTTCCAAGTATCTATTTCCTAAAAATGTAACTCTAGACACAAAGCTAATAATGCAGCTGTAATGTGCATAAATAAACGTATTAGCTGCCAAAGGATTTGGAACTGTATTCATCTTATCCTGTGACCCTGACATGCCTGACAGACAGTATAAGTTGGTCAAGAACAGGAGCAGAATGAAGGAGCAGCACCACGCTGTTGAGTCATTACTCTCTTCACTAGCAAGTTCCCTTTCTGAACATATGAATCCCATCCTAACTGACCCCTAGTGTTGACCCTCACTCTCCTAGTCTGAATCTTGCTATGCAGGGAATTACAAGAGGAGAATGATATGAAAACAAGTTCAGTTATTGATTGTAGTTGCATTTATCATTATTAATGAAAACATATCTGGTGTGTACTGCTGTTTTATATCTGCCTGTAGTTCAGTATAGAAGTGCCAAAAACAACCTTAGGTTCCTTTAGAACCTACCAATATGTTTTTGTATTGTGGGATGAAACCGATCGCCTGGAGAACACCCACATACATACAGAAAGAACCTAGAAACTTCATATAGATAGAGCCCCGATGGGTCCAGAAAAAAGCACCCCAGTATTGCATGTCAAGAAACACCCCTGGGTGCCCTTAGCAGAAAAAAAAGAACTGTGCAGTGATCTGAAAGAACTAAACCATAAAGTGTTTACACATTACAAAATGATTTATACATTCATAACTGTCCAACATTTGTCAAGTATATTTATTTATCATGTATTGTACACTGTATATCAAAGCTTTCTACCAGCAGTTTGTGTAACCCGGGGAGCACTCCTGGTCAGTTCGGGAGGTACTTCTGCTTCTTAAGCTGGCCATGCACTGCTTAAATATCAGCTGAGTCAGAGGAAATCTGGCCAGTGTGTGGCCCCATCTTCGGCCAGTGTGGGGCCCGCTCTGTACCCCTCTGTACAGTGACTGCAGCCAATTGGTGGTAGTGGTGTTTGGGGATTCAGACCGTGCCACTGTCAGTATACAATACGCTGTTGGGCAGGGAAATTAAGCATTTCTTATTGTTCAGCCTGTGGGGCTGATCAAGAAAAAAGATTAGTGTATGGCCAGCTTAAAGTGACATTAAAGTAAAAATGTTTCCCTCCCCCCAATGTTAATGTTAGCACTTACCTTAAATGATGTCTCTTAATCCGATCTTCTTCTTCTTTCTTGATGTTTTCATCTGTCCCTCCAGCGGTGTGGCGGCTCTCCGATCCAGCGCTGACTCCTCTGTCCTTGCTGGCACTTTGGATCCTGCGGTGTCTGCATGCGGGTGTACGCGTCCATAGACTTACCTTGCGTCTCTGCTCGTCTCCCGGCCGAAAATCCGAACTGCGCATGCGCCCGCCCCAAGATGCTTTGCGACCACCCAAGCAGTTTCGGATTCTCGGGCGGGAGCGCGTGGCGATAACGGGGTAAGTTTAAACCGCTGTTAAAGCGTTTTTTGTTTGCTAGCAGTAGATATAGGCAAAAAAAACGGAGGGTTTAGAACTCCTTTAACAGTAAGTTAATCACAGTAGCTTAGCATTCTATCAAATAATAAATCATATATAGTATGGATATCGGTAACTCTATACGGATATTTAAAAATATAATGGCTTTTTAGGGAACAGCTAGGGATTCCGAAAATAAATATCAAAGGGTACTTTATATTAGGGCAGCCTCACCAGGGTTTACATGGTGACCAACAGTTTTTAATAGAGGTACATACTTTAATAAAGTTAAGAAACACTGCTGTAGCTAAAATAGTAATTGCCTGCTGCCAATATGACCATAAGTTTTACTTACATGATGGCTGCCTCTGGATTTCTCTGTATATTCCTCAAACTCCCCGTGATTAAATATTGTGCTACATTAATAGAGGCTTCAATATGGCCACCTTCTGAAGCTTTAGACATGTATTCAAAGGCACGCGTCTGTGAGGAAGAATATAGTGAAAGGTTTAATTTAAAAGAAAAAAGAAATGTAATCAGACCATTTAATGTATACATATATTCTACTGAAATTAATATTTTGTAGTTTTGAGAAATATATAATTCAATAAATGTAAAGCTTAAATAAATGATTATATTATTATACAGGATTTATATAGCGCCAACAGTTTGCACAGCTCTTTACAATATAAGGAAGGCATTACAATCACAATACAATTCAAGACAAGATGGTAAGGAGGGCCCTGCCCCTGAGGGCTTACAATCTAAAAGGGATGTTTTTAGTTTCAAACGGAATAAATAGAACATACTTTACAGTAAAGAGATTCAGCAACTAATGCTGGTCATCACATAATGATAAACAATCAATCATAAACAGTGTTTTTAAATAATTTTGCTCTCAAAAATGATTGTAGCAAGAAAAAAGAGATATATTTATTCCACTGGTTTTTTTTCTCTTTTCAATGAAACATTTTTTTTTATTGATTGAATTCTGAAAGATGTGATTATTTCATTAAAACAATCATTATAGTGAACTATTGTATTATTATTTATGGACAGCATTAGACTGTGATAAGGTGCAAACGTAGCTGATCATTTGCACTGACCTAAGCAAACATTTGCACTGTTTTGTAATGTTTCATGAAATGTAATTATTTTTATGCCTGCTGAAACATTGCATAGAATTAAAAAAAAGAAAACAAAATACATTATCTGCTATCAACAAGGCTTTAGATGACATTAAAGTGACAATTTCTGAGCAATTAAACCCAATGCAGTACTCAGGCTGGGGGTAAGACCACAATAAAATGAGCCATTGGGACTAAATGCCAGTTTATGCCATAACCCACAAAGATGCCAATCACAGATCCACAGAGCACATTTCACAGCCAATGCCTATTCTCCTACATTCCATACACTGAGCCTCTGACTCCAATTCCTCCCTTCCTGCCAGTCTTTCTCTATCACTTTCCTACCTCCATCTAGCACTAACCAGTTATCCTCAAACTTTATTTTCCTGCAGGTGTTAGCTAGAAAGTGCAGAGTAATAACATGATGACGATCTTTTTTAACGACAGTGGTAAAAATAAATAAAAGGAACAGGATGGAAATTCTTTCACGAATGGTTAAGATTCTAACAGTAAAAGTGGTTTTTGCTTAAGAAAACTCCATTAATTCCACAAGTGAATGCCCAGCTTTATTCACTATTTTTGGTTTCATGTAAAACCCATCTGCCAGGCTCTAAAGTGCCATCTTCATTGGTATTCCCTATAATAGTGTAGAAATATTGGTCTACAGTTCATAAAGACTGATATAAATAGGCAACAAAATGTAGCCCAATCGTTCTACATTCCCAGTGCTCCTAGACTAGAATAACATAATACAAACATTTGAAAAACACAGACTGCCACATAGGGCATTGCTTGCCACTACAATTCATATTCATATGCCTATAACAGTAGTGTCCTGATTGCCAAGACCAGCCCTGGAAAAAAGCCTCTAGATTAATTTCAGCTTTCGGTGGCTGTATAAGTCCTAAGGCTAAAAGCACTAATGAAAATCCTTGGGCAATAAATAATTTTACTCTATACATTGCCCAATTATAGCCTGGTATTTGATTTATTCTGTAGCCCTTAACTAGCCTTCATTCACCTGTATATGTATTTATACATACATATGGTATCTCTGTTAATATAACAAGATACAGCCTTACTTACCTCATTGGCACCAGATTCTGCTGGATAGATACCTTGCAGATGCATAACTCCAAGATTAAATGCTGCATCTGCATTTCCCTTATCGTAGGCTCTGCTCCAGTACTTCACAGCCCTCACATAGTCTTTCTTGAAATTATGGTAATACCAGCCTAAGCCATTCAAAGCCTCCACTTGCCCCTGCAGATAAAGGCAAATAGGTAGGGTGTTCAATCCATGTCAATACATAGAAAAACATTGCATGGTAGCTACATGGTTAGCACTTGTGCTTTGCAATACTGGGGTCCTTGGTTTGAACACTGGCAAAGACTCTATCTGCATGGAGTTTCATTGTTCTCCCTGTGTTTGCATGGGATTTATCCCACCAACCAAAGACATGGTGGTAGGTTAGCTGACTCCTGTCTAAATTGGCCCTAGTGTGTGTGCACGTGAGATAGGGACCTTAGATTGTAAACTCCATGTAGGTAGAGACTAGTGTAAATAAATAGCAGCTAAATTGCCAATGCTGTAATAATAATTATATAAGGAGTTCAGCCAATAAGGACATACAGTGTATAAAATATTTTGTTTTGTTAACACCCTTGAAGTACCACCATTTTTATAAACAGGGTGTCATCTTATTAAAAGAACTACAAAAGAATATCATCAATGCAACTGATATTTCAGTTTTGTATGGCTGTCAGCAAGCTGAATCAACAGCTGGCTTTATGTAATTCTTGGGTACTTCAGTGGCGGTATATGCCCACCAGAATTCCCATACAGTGGATAAAGTAACAGGATCCCTGGATAGATTTACAATAATACTAAGCCATTAATCTAGCTTTAAGAGAGTGATATCTTCCATAAGGCCTTTTGAGAGGGTACAAACACAAATTACTACAGACACCCAATGAAGATTCCAAGAGTTAAAAGAAGCAATTGAGTTAGTGATTTAGCCCACCAGCATCCTCCCACAATGCAGGAACCAAGGAACGCTACACTTACTTTTTTAAAGCTGTTATTTGTGGTAGTTAACAACCTATAATAAGCCCACTCTCCTTAGATCATAGGGGCAGCAAATCTTGTTTTCTACTTTTAGTAAAAATGTTTTAAAAATTACCTTAGAAGCAGATTTCTTCATTAACTCCAAAGCCAGTTTCTTGTTTTTTGGCACCCCATCACCCTAAAGAAATAGGTAACAGCCATCTTTAATAGAAAATGATATTTAGGGTATTCATTATACAATTGTGCATGAGTGTAAAAAGCCACCATGACTCCACAGTGTCTGTACAGTATGCCTGATATATAATGAGAGTGCCAAATTGTCTGGTGCCCATCAGCATCAGAAACAGTGCTTTGGGGACCCCCATTTGTTGTAGGAACCCCCTCAAAGCACCCCCCAATGCTTGAGGGCATGCAGGCTAGTATTCAGATTGTGTGTGTGTGTGCGGGGGGGCTTGCAATTTGCCTTGGTATAGGGATATCAGCCTGCCTAGTAAGAGCTATGGCCCCAAAGCAAGAAGCACTTTAAGATGCACATTAAGTCAACTCAAATCAGGAAAGAATTTCAACACTATGTAAGGCAAAAAAATGGATGAATGTTTGGTGAAAATCAGAATTAATCTATAGTGAAATAGCATGAACAACGTGTAAAGCACTTTCGTATTGAAAGACAGACATTGGGCAAATCTTGTTTAGTGACATTTCTGGAGGGCAAATGTTGGGCACATCTTGGTTAATAATTACTAAAAACTAATGTGCTAAAAAGCATGAATGTGAAAAATCAAATCTTGCCCAAAATGTGGGCAAAGCTTGGATGAAAGCAGTGTGAATGTTGGCTGAAAACTATGATAAATATATCCCTTATTCTTTTATCTTACATTTATTTACATTTGTTCACAGCACAAAACGGAAAGCCATGAACTCGCTAACCGCTTTCAGCATAGACCAGTGTAAATCCTCTGAAGAAATCATTGTACACTGTTTATGCACAACAAAACTACGTATAAAGCTATGGATGAAGTGAGAAGGACTAAAGCGCCTCCTGGTGGCTCATGCTCTAAACAACCAACAGCATAGTCCATATAAAGAATAAGACTCTTTGACAACATACCTTAAACAGTAGCACAGCATAATCATACATCAGCACTGGCTCTTCATTCTCCATAGCTCCGCGTTCATACCATTCTATGGCTGCTCTGGTGTCCTGGGTCACACCTTGCTGGCCCCAGAAAAGCATTTGGGCCAATCTATGCTGCAAGACAAATCAAAGGTCGATATAATGTGTTTCCTGAATTTATGTTAAAGTGATTATGGGCAAAACCAAGCATATAAAACAGGTTGCTGGGTACATAAAAAGGCATGAAGAAAAAGCTTACTGTGGGGCATCAAAGGAATGATGTGTTAGTATATCAGGGTTTATACACTGAAATATATTTTCAGTGTACATTACTTTTCATTTATTCTACACTGCCTTTGTAGTCCAGAATCTACAGAATAATAATGCCCTTTATTCCTCTAAAGCTGGCCATACACCTAAAGAATATCTGCAGATTTTCTATAGTCAGATGGAAAAAGTGCAATGCCTGCATTCAATCAGATTGTTCAGATATTTTGACAGCCAGCGGGGCCGACTAGCAAGATACTGAAGTTTGGCCCAGTGGGAGATTGCTCCAGCCACACAGTTTAGTGGAGATGAAGGAATCTGTTGCACTTTTTACATCTGACCATAGAAAATCTGCAGATAATCTATAGGTGTATGGCCAGCTTTAGAGGGAAAAAAATCCTTCCTCACCCTATACTGGCAATCAATTAAATCCCTGGACACAGCTCTTATCAAATTTAGGAATTTCCATAGCCCTTTATAGTATGAAACAACTTGCTTCTGGCATGTGAACAACATTAACTATTGTTTTGGGTCAATTTTTTTAAATGTATTAGTTTTTTTAATCAGATATTCTTTGTTTTTTTCCCCATACATTGTGAACATATACAATAAAACCGCACTCCAAAACAACCAACAGAACAAAACAAAGAAGAAAAAAATCAAAAAACTAAAGACAGCAACAATACACTTTATACATTGCCTCCCACCACCCCTATCTGCAGTCCCTACTTTTCTATCTATCTTTTCTGTATTTACTATGACACATTTTTGTTTCCACTTACAATATTATATTTTGCCCACTTAATCCAGCAGGTCTCAAGTCTGACTAATATTCATATTTCCAATCCACCTATTCCAAATTCCCTGAAATGTACCTGTCTGGCCCCTCATCCTGTAAGTATGTTCTTCAAACCGAATATATTTACTAATCTCAGCTTTCCATTCTTTAATTGTAGGGGAATACTCCGAGGTCCATTTAACTGCTATTAATCTTCTAGCCAGAAACAGTAGCCTTTTTATTGCTAAAGTGCTGTTATTATCTAAATAATCAGAATCAAAACCCCCTAGAATACAAGTTAATGGGTTAACATTCACTATATTTCCATATAGTCTATTCAAACATTCAATCACCCCTATCCAGTACCTTTTTAGTTTTGGACATCTCCGTAGTAAATGAATAAGTGTGCCTTCCTGACGCTTGCATCTCGCACATTTTGGGTTTATTCGTTTTTAAAGGCTAAATTAATCTTTCAGACTATGTTTCCTACTACATTCATATGTAATCTAAGGTTACATTCCAAAACCCTCCTCCCCTACACTTACCTAAATTGTGGAGTTTTTCTGTAGTTCAGATTTTAATTTGGTGCAGCTGTTCATGGTCCTTCCTGCACAGCCATGCTCTTCATTCACAGATCCATTTACAGGATCTGTGCATAAAAAAGACTACAAGTCCCATCTCCAGACAGAGGGACTCATAGCTCTCAAAGGAGCACAAGTGCGGTAATGTCACTGCACTTGTAGTCCACTTACTACTCCCTACAGGCACATAATTGAAGGTCAGTTTCTCCGTATGGACCTGGGGCTGGGTTAATAGTCTACAGGAGCCTGTGCATTGCATCCATGATCCGCTGATTACTGTTGCAATGCTTTGCAAGTTCAAATGCAAAAAATGAATACTGTAATGAACTTTTTTGGTACTATAACAGACGGAGCTATTAAGCTCTGTGAACAAGAAAAAGAGAAACTGGGAAATATGTTAAAAGCAAACCTAAGCTCCACCTATAGATGTCCTTTCTTTTTAAATATTCTATTTTTTTTCTCCTTCCTATAAAAAAGAAAATATTTACAAAACCACTTCTTTAATCGTTTAAATACTACAGGCCCAATTTACTAAGCTATAACACATGTGTTAGTTTCCATAAAGATTTTTAGCCATGAGACTATTATTTTCAGCTCTTGCTAGTTGTCATTACTGACATCAATGATCAGTACAGCTTAGTAAACTGAGCCTTAGATTTGTAACAGGCATTGAAATGGTAGAGTGGTGCATATAACGGTTATGGTACCTGGGCATATGGATCACCTCTCTCTGCATTCTGTTTAAGCCACAGGAACAGATCATCAGTCTCCCTGGTTTGCTCCTTTAAAATATCATCATCCATTAACCGTACGGTTTCTACAAATGCCTTGAAGGAAAAACAAAGGAACATAAGCCAACTTCAAGGAATTATATACAGGGTTATTCACAAAAGCGTGAAGAGTTTGGAGAAGACAGGAGAAGACAGGAGAAGTGAACAATCTAGGCCAAAATAGCTGATTTGGAAAAATTCTCCAGTTCAGCTCACTTTCCAGTTCAGCTGCAGTATGTTGTCCTAGATTGTTCACTTCTCCTGCCTTCTCCAAACTCTTCACCCTTTCGTGAATAACCCTGCTAATTTCTAATATATGACTGCATTATTAGATAGTTAGAAAATAACGAATTCACACATCTTTAAAAAACTCAATTGCATCAAATACTCAAGAAAAAAAATAATGCATAGGAGCCTGGCTGCAGAGAAAACCACACAAATATCACATTGTCACCATGAGTTATCTTGGTCCTTTGTATAAAAGCATTATACACACTGGAGTCCTGCACAGAAATGCACAAAAATGTGCTAGAGTTCCTTCCTGTGAATAACCTACCCTTTGTCACTGCTGTGGCATAAAAAGCTTTGCTGCCACTAAATACAAAACTAGAAAGTATATCAACTGTTCCTGTTGCCCACAGTAAGTGGGAAAAATAGAAAAATTGTTTATTATCCTAGTGTATCTATTAACATTTGCCATTCCAGTCCCCACTGACATGATTGGGACAGTGTACTGAGAATGAAGAAGATCTACTCAAGTCAGACGCAAGTAACATTAGGGAGATTTAACTCAGAGGAGGCTGTGAGCACCAGAAGAGGCCAACGCTCTGGAACTAAGGTTAAAAAGCAGTTGGCGATGGGGGGAATAGCACAGTTAAAGTGACACTAAACTTAAATACCTTAACTATTAACAAAAATTCCTTATTTGTGTATCAATAGGCTGGAGATCCTCAAATCATCTCTGAATTGGTGCTGACACTGTCCTTCCTTCTGGAGGGTGGCTACTTTTGTTCCCCATGGTCCCTGTGTGTGTTGTAAAGTAGCCACCGCTCCAAGTGATGGACTACAATCTCATGTTTAGTTTACTAATTTGTATTGAGATTGCTGTGCATCAGTCATTTCCCTGTACAGGCAGTCCCTGACTTACGAACGCCCGACTTACGAACAACCCGTACTTACGAAAAAAGGGGGGATTGGGGGACTGTAGTTGGGCTGGTGGTATTCAGCATTGCTGTATAAATTATTATACAGCAATGCTGAATACCACCAGCTATACAGGACTACATGCTATGCTATCCAAAACGAAAAAAATGTTTTCTTGGCTGGAGTTACACTTAAAAAATGTACCTGTTCAGACTTACATACAAATTCAACTTAAGAACAAACCTACAGTCCCTATCTTGTACGTAACCCGGGGACTGCCTGTAGTGTATGGCAATTATTGGCAGATCAGGTCCAAAGCATAGTAATATATTCTGAAAATCAGCCTGTGTTTTGACATCTGGAAACAGTGTTCTTGATTTGCCTGAAAGGTATACAATTCTGCATAGGCATTCCCGTTTATTGGATATGTTATTTTTGAAACTCTAAACTAAAACAATTCTTACCTGTTCTGCGTGTCTGGCTAACCGGTCCTTTGGAGTTTTCTTTGCAATATTCATGTAGTATACAAATGCAACATCTAGATCCAAACTGTGAGTGTCTATTCCTTGAAGATGCTTATACCCAAGCTTCAGCAGAGCAAGTCTATCGTCTTCTTGTGCCCCAATTAGGCTATATAACAGAGCCTGTGCAAAGAAATTTAGTGATACAATGACCATCATGCATGTCCATTAAAGTGGACTCACCGGTAACTTTACAATTCTGCATTAAAAAATTCCTGACAAAATACAGAAGATTATTTTCCGGTGCACCTTTTGACATTAAAAAAAAAGTCCTTGGACTCCAGTCAAGACACTGATTCTAGGCTGGAGAGGTAATTTCTGGAAAAATATGTCCTCAGTTTACTGGAGACACGGGGAAATTAAATTACAACTGGAGAAAAGAAAATGATAAAAAAAATGTCTATAAAATGAAAGGTGAAACCTGACTAGTTGCTATTGATAAGATTTCCACTTTTGTGCTATTTTCTCTTATTTTCATTCAAAGGGTATGTGTGGGGGGCAGTACAGTCTTGATGCCTGGAGAGGAGCTTTAAAAATATCTCAAGTATTTTTGTATGCTAGATCATTGCAGCTGGCAATATAAATATTTGTGCAATAGTACAAACCTGGGTTGGGTTGGTAGGCACACCTAGGCCAATTTCATAGATAATGGCTAACAGGTAGGATGCTTTATGATATCCACAGCAGCTAGCATCCATTAAATGGGGGATAGAAGAATTTAGATGTTGGAAACCATTAGACAAGTCCCTTATAACACTTTCAAACATCTTTTTCCCAACTGCAGGTACTGGATCATTCCAAAAATCTTAAGAGAAAAACAGAGAACACAGTTCACAAGATAAACAATGATAAAGTGGAATATTTACTAAATCTGCTTATTAAGGGTAGAACAAAGACAGTGCATTACTCAAATTTGGGCTACCCTTAAATAGCTATCACTTTTTCTCCAATTATAACTTTTTATAAATTGTAAGGGTGCTGTGACAAAACTCTAAAACTTTATTTTTTTGACACATATAAGCAGCGACAACCCCACATGCACCATTAATGTCCTTCAGATGTGTCAGTTACATTGCTGAATATGTTCTTGACAATAAAAACCTAAATCCAAATGCTCTCTTGCTTGACGTTCTGTAGACAACATCCACCATACCATATCACCCTTACCCCTTCACTTTGTGTTTTCCCCTTATCATTCTCTGCATATTTTGTTTCCTCCATGTGCACTGACAGAACTTTGTGGTAGTCATGAAGCCATGTTTGAAAAGTAGATGATAGTGTTCAGTTGGTAGAGAATATGGCAAACCCCTATTCACTGTATGATAAGGAAAGTGCTTGCTTCAGATGTCTAATAAAATGGGCGCTGCCCTGTCACTATTCCTTATGGGCTTTAGCATCTGTCTCTCAACAGTGGTGTCTGTAACCCCATCTTCAACTATGCATGCTCCTCCTTATTTTTAAGGTCCGTACGAAGTATATCCCCAAATTTCTGACTAAACCTGGCCAAAATAGAAACAAAAAGCAATTTTACAATTCTAAAGAATTTTTAGTAGTACCATAATTCTCTTAACATTTCCTACATGGGCAGAATTTACAATAATTCCTCCACTGTTGTGTCCACTACTTCTGTACAAGACCATTCTGACTTGCACTGTGCACACTTTTTTAACACAATTCAATTTCATGTCACCACTCTAAATTATCCATTCAAGGAGCTGGCAAATATTTTCTATATTGCTTATAGTTGGCTGAAAGTCCTTCAAGCATATAAAAAGTGGTGACAAAGAAAAGCTTTATCTTCTTTGGCAGTGGCAAGTGACATGAGCTTTGAGCATAGGCTGGATTATCATATTGACATACTGTAGAGTGACGATGACAAGGAAGTCATTAAGTAAAGAAAGTACTTTTAGCTCACGGTCGTTTTCACAAGTAAATGCACATTGTAAATGCAACCTTCACCCTACTATACATGTATAGATAGCAAGAGCCTAACTATAATTCTAGCAGAGCCTGCAACTGCAATAGGGTCCAGAAGAACAGGGTAACCCGAACTGCATGCTTACACACTGTAGGTAGCATAGAAAAGTAGCAACAAATGTAATTTATATACAGTTTTGGACAGGAAAATCAGTTACTAAATGTTAGGTACAAGCCCTTGTAACTATTCCTGGCTTGACTTGAAAACAAGTCCTTTCATTAGTAGGTACAGATGAATTACCTTTGAGATGGAAGTTGAAATGGCAAGGGCACCTTCATGTTTTTGCTATGGGGCCCCATCCCATAAAGTTACAGCGCCGATGAAAAGGTCAATGCATGGGTCAGAGAAGGTCAGAGAAGCATTCATGACTCTTTCTTTTTCTGGGCTCTGTATCAGGAGACTGATGATGGTGACAACAGGAACTGGGTGGCCTGGAATTTCTCTTCAAGCTTTACTTTGTTGAGATGTAGAGGTATAACTGAAGGGATTTTACAATGCACTAATTTATAAATATGCATGTTGGGTGAATGGAGAATTATGTCCAGGTCAAACCATTTGGTTCTGATTCTTGGGTATATGGTCCACTTAAATGATACATGCATTTTCAAACTAAATTAAACTACAGGCCTGTTGCTGGCTTCCTCTGAAATTTAGCACACAGAATAAAAGCTTTCTAGAGTGTATGCATCGGCTTGAGAACAACATGTGCAGCAGATGCAGCACATTTCTGAAGATGCCAGGAGCAGCATATTGCCATACAGTACATAGGCAGAGAAATGGAGTCCCCCGAAACTACTGCATTGAACCATATGGTGCATACAAGAGTTGCTGTAAAGGTTGAATACAGCAGTCAGGCCTTGCCAGCTAAATAAAAGATCACTTATCCAGGTAGGACCTTAAGCATCAGTGCTTAGACCTCTGCACAATATACATATAGCACATGTCTGAACCAGCCCTTAATGCTACTAAATTCTCCCACAGTCTTTAAAGAGGCCACTTGATCATTAAATATAGTTTAAAGTGAATTTGTGCATTGCCCGTGCAAGGCAAAGCAACAGGTTCACTTTAATAGCTCTCTCAAACAGCATATATTTACCTTTCTGCACATTGAGAGGGAAGAAAAGACATGTGTATGCTACGAGTCATAGATTACACAGGGGTAAGAACTCTCCCTGGATTAAATGACATGCTCTTCCATACCCAAAAGTATAGGGTATCGCCCTGACTCCCAGCACATAACGGAGTGGCGATGAAGAAAAGAAAAGGTAAGTATATGTTGGAGGTATATAGTAGTGGTGGTGGCTGGGGGGGGTTAAAGGAGAACTATGAGATGAGTGATTTCCACTCACCTCATAGTTCTAAGCCGACCTGTGACAATGAGACTGTCACAGGTCGGCTCAGTAGATCGGGAGGTGAGGGAACACATACCGGGTTCCCTCACCTCTCGATCCTGTCAAGGACACTAGTTTGTGTCCTCCCGTTACCCTCAGGAGAACTATGGGGAAAAACACCGACCCCATAGTTCTCCTTTAAAGGATACTTGTTGCTCTATCTTATAATGGCAAAGTACAGTTATAAACCTGTCATGCCCTCATAAAGTTGATGTTGGCAGAGCAGAGCAGAGCAGATGTTACCCACCCACCATCCAACAGATCAAATAGTGGTCAACAGTAGTGGCTTAGGCTGTGGGATGGGCATGCAGTGTCACTCTTTGGCCTCCTGTTTGATGATATTTCAGTAACAAGATACAAGGGAGCAATATTCAACATGTAAAAAGCAGCTCAAAAACAGGTCCTCTCCTCTATACTAGATCTGGTAAGCCCTGGAGCTCACCTGAGAGGGCAAGCCAACTTCTTAACTACTAAACATTTCCTTCCACTGGTCTCTTCAGATCAGCCTGCTTAGGACAACATAAACATGGGCAGCTTATATTAATTCCTCTAAACCAATAGAAGCCTCAGTAGATTACAAGAACATTTACCCATTGAAATCCTCTCTGTAGATGTTAGAAGTTGAAATAAATGACTATGTTTTCTTTCATCCTCTTGTGTCCAAGAAACTATCTTACAGATGGGTCTGTCTCTATATTTTAGGTAGAGGTCCATGTAAGGATTCTTGGCTTGACCTGCAGATAGACCATTTTATTAGTAAGTATATTTAATATGACATACTCACACATCTGCTAACCTTTGCACATACTTTTAAATACATGTTTAAATGTTTGGAGTCAGCTCTTACTCTTTGTCTCCTTGATGTGTTTCTCTTTTAGCGTATCAACATACAGATGTACTATGTCTTTCACGGTAAAACATCTGCTGTAATAATCCTGGATTTGGCGATAAAGTTCATCTTCTGGAAGAGGGTTGGATATCTATATCAGCAGAAACAAATGACATGGATGTTAAATTAATTTACTTACTCACAAACCATAGTTCTTGAGTCCATTTAAATATCTTCATTCTAAATCAAATATACTTTATATCCAAATGTAGGGACCCTGCCTTAAGCACAGGTTTCTCTAGTTTATTTTGCTGGTGCCAGATACAGTTAGCCATTGATTGCTTATGCCTGTTAGCATTGAATAGGCTCCAGCAATCAGAGTCAGAATATTTATCCCCACCAGCCAATCACTTAGGAGATTGCTTAGTGATGTGAGCTGGGAAAGCCAATGAATATACCGAGCAACGTTACAGTGTTCTTCTTCTCTCTCCAGGGCTTTGTCCTTGATGGAGCCATGTTAAGGCGTTCCTGGACTGTTGAGTCCATGCTGCTCTGGACCCTGTTCAGAGTAAGCTGTCCAAAGGCTACACATGGAGCAAAGAAGAGACCTCCTGGGAAGAAAGGCACCTGTGGCTGCCCACACAAAGAAATTGAAACTGAACTGGCCATGGAGGAAGCACACACTAGAAGCTAGCTGCTGACCTACATATCTGGAGTGTCTGATGTGCTCATCCACACTATGTGTTTATGGGACCTGCAAGTAAAGGAGTTGCTATCTGTAAGCAGGCCTTGGTGGCTGCTATGCAGATGACCTGCTGTATACAGAAGTTACCATTTGTGCTTTGGGGCATCCTGTTCCTTCATCCTCTCTCCCATGTGTGTGTTCAGTAATACAACTAAAACTAAAGTGACTGGTAACCACCTGTGTTATCCAACTGCAAGCCAAGGATTCAACCCTGAGAAGTCAATGTGTCTGGTGACCTAACCTAAAGTAAGTGCACTGAAGCATTCAGAGTGTGTATAATAGGCCACTTGGCGGTCACCTTACATGATTCCGGTGGTGCTACTGTTACACAGATAAAACGTTTGATTACGTGGGAAAGAAAAAGAACCTTGGTCAAGATGTTTAGCTGTCTTTGGCCCAGTTGGAGAGATTTCACTTCACTTCCTGTACAGATCTTAGTATTGTCACCAGAACAGGAAGTAAATCTCCAACAGTGACACAGCATTATAAACCTTTTTTTTTCTAAGTAGGGAAAGGCTAGATCCCACATCAGATTTTAACTCCTGTGGGTGTTCCTTTTGTAGATTTCCCCTCACTTCCTATCTAGGAACCAAGGCAGATAGTGAAGAGACACGTCCTCAATGAAATGGCCTTAAATGCCATAAAAACCCCAAACATCTTAATGGAGTTATACTTTAGTTATGAAATGAATGCAGTTAAACTAACAAGTAACTACAACGGCTGCTAAAATGGTAGGCAAAATAAAGAGGAGCTCTGGTCATAATGACCAGAATTATCATGAAAAGTTTCCTTAATACTTCCCTGGTTTTCTTTGTGGCCAGACAGGATGGTTCTTGCTGCATTTGGTGCAATGGCTGTTTTATTGAATACACAATTGACATAAATTCAAGGAACGTCAGGACCCAGTAACACAGTAAAACTAAGTAACAGAAGGACACCAAATTTCCTTTGCTGGCTAAGTAAAGTAATTGTGGGCATCTTGTGGTGTCGTCTTTTCCTTGTAAAGTTTAAAAAAGAAGTCCAGGGAGGAATTTTATTAACCCTTGCAGTAGGGTTACCCCCACACTACAAGGTTTGTGCCTAAGGTAAAAAAAGTTATACTCACCTGAACCTCTGAGCTGGCAGTGCTCCCTCCAGCCTGTCTCCTCCTCCTCTGCAAGGATTGTATGTCCCTCAGCATCCTCTTGTCCAATACATTCTATTGGACGTGATGACTTGAGGACTACTAAAGTGTTGCAGCGGAGGCAGTGAGACACTCAAGGCACCAGTCTAAGAGCCAGTTGACCCTAGGCAACAATGTGCAGTTAACCCTTGGAGGTAGCCCCACCTCAAGGGTTAATACAAGTTCTGCCTAGAGTTCTTCTTTAAAATGGAGTACAGGTTCACTTTAAGCAAATGTTGGGCTATTTTTTGTTAAGTTTCCCTTTTCTAGTTGCTCATTAGACAGTTCATGAAAAGCAGAACAATTATAGTATGGCAGAGCTCATGCAGTGCGGGTACTGATTGGTACCTACCTCATCCATTTGCAGAGCCTTAAGGCGGTAATATTTCACAGGTCCAAAGAAACCATCTATGCCTGCTACATACTTGCTGCCCCCAAGAGCCATGAAGCCATCAGTATCATCAAAATTGATTTCATCATCCACACTTAAAAATACAGAACAAAACTAAATTAGGTGAGATCAATTTATTATATAAAAACTTATAACAATTCATATTTGTGTTACTTTTATGTTTCCGTTTCCTGTATGCAAGTGCCATTTGATTGCCCTTATAGTTATCTCTGTGTTACTCTGCTCTATCTTGCAACTAGCATGCCTCATGCACATAGCTCAGACGGGAGTAGGGAGAAGCCGCATAAGATGCCAATTGCTTGTGCTGCTTCTCCCTCCCCCCAGTCTGAGCTATGCTGTTCAGGAGATTGCAAGAGGCTTATACCAGGTCAAGTTCATGGATTTACATTTACACTGCTTGCTTTAAAAAAACAGGATGTATTAATTACTAAAGAACGGCATTCATTTGTGTCATTTTATCGTCTTTAAATACACAGACGAAATACACATATAGTTGCCGTCTTAACTGCCATGCTTAACTGATTTGTATTTATGTCCACTCAGTCCTGAGATTTACACTGTTCTGCCACAAAGAAAAACCCTGACTGACAGGACAGGAGACTTGATTTTTTTCTGTTGCAGTTACCTAATACTTACAGATCTTGTCCTTCCTCCAGCTTGTGACTGGACAGTAGAAAGAGAAGCAGCACACTGGTGAGCTCATCTCTGTCTCACACTGATTTCTTCTCCTATCAGCATGTCCCTTAGCACATGAGCACTGCAGCAAGAGTGTCTGGGTCCTTGTGCTGATTCTCCTGCTCTAAGCCTGAGCTCTGCAGTGCAGAAGAATGCAAAAAGCTGACTCCAAGTCAAATCCAGGTACCTACACTGCATTTAATTATGAATTAATGAATACAGAGCTGCTGTGTACCAGAGTTCGAGAGGAAGAAGGAGCACAATAAGCCAATTAGTTTATGTGCTGACAAGAAGCATGCTGATAGGAGGCAAAAGCAGAGTGACAGAGAGATGAGCTCATCACTGTTCTGCTTCTCCTTTCACTGTCTATGTTCTATGATACCAAGTGTCATTCAATTCACTTCCTGTAAGGCCACTTCCCCTGGGGTACGCCATCATGCAGCCTGCAATGACATCAGTGCTGTACAGCCCAGGAGGAAAGCCTGTCTGCCAAGAAAGGACAGGAAGGACCTATGATGTCTTAGGGCCAGCCTGGAAATTTCAGGAAATAGGTGAGGATAATGCTTAAAGTGACATTAAACCCTCAGATTTTTTAACATAAACCAATACTGTAATGTGTGCCTTACTGTAATCCATGGTTGTTTCCCTTCTCTTTGCTGCTCTTCCTTTTAAATCCTCATGTCTTCTCATGCTGGGGGAGAACTTCCCTTTGCAGCTGAGTGCCTCCTCCTGTAGTGCTGGCTCAGGTTGTGAACCTACACACAGACACCATGTATCCATTCCTGAGACAAGGCAGTCTGCTGCAAAACTGAAGTTATGCCCAGCATGAGAAGAGATACGGATTTAAAAGGAAGAGCAGCAAAGAGAAGGGAAACAACCATGGATTACAGTAAGGCACACATTACAGTATTGTTTTATGTTAAAAAATCTGAGGGTTTAATGTCACTTTAAATGAAACAAAAACATAGATCTGAGGGTGGGTTTAGGAAAAGAGAGCAGGTGTGTGTATGTGTGTGTGTTTTGGGGAGGCGTCAGTCGTAATAGCTGGAGTTCCACTTTTTTTTTTTTTAAAAGGTGTTACATTTGATGTAGTCCACGCAGATCAAGGTGTTTTTTTATGCAACATGTAAATCTTTTAATGAATTAAGGTTTTAAAATGTTTTAAGCCTCCTTAATTTTTTTTCATTATCAACTTTTATTTGACTTTACATTATTTTGCTTCATTTGATGTGTGTCATAAAGCATGGCAGCCTGTGGGGAATTCCAGCAATTAAAATGTAATTAACCCCTTGAAGAGCGGGGGGGGTTTTCAGTATTCAGCGCTGCAGTACTTTGACATTTAATCAGTCATGCAATCCTGTACTGAAATTAACTTTATATCTTTTTTGGGGGACAGATAAAGCATTTTTTGGTGGTATTTTTTCACCACAGGCCTTTTTTTTTTTTACTATATAAAGAAAAAAGTATCAAAAATGTTGAAAAAAACAAAACATTGCAAATAAATAATCTTTCTTCATACATTTAGGCCGAAATGTATTCTGCTAGAATTCTTTGGTCATGTTGGGTAAATAGACACGAAATGTGTCATGCCATAAAATTGTGTGCGCCCGTGAAATCGCAAAAAAACTACCATACCTAAAATTGCCCATAGGCGACACTTTAAAAGCTTTTAGGCCTCATTCACACACAACGCAAGAGCAAAATTGTATATTGCGTATATACGCGTATTTATACGCATATATGTGCGTATATGCGTGCACTATATATAGCGCAACTATACAGTATATAGTATATGCGTGCAATCGTTGTTTTTGCATGTAGACACCCGTACATGGGTGCAGGAACAAGCTCCCTATGTGATAGAACATGTACAGGGACAGGTCCTCCTTATAGAGACATCAGGGGTCTATTAGTCCCCTAAATTCACCCAGGGACCCCAAATAAGCTGATGAAGCAGAGATCTGCTTCACCAGCTTCTTCTGTAGTTATAGCAGCCAGAGAAATGACAGACAGAAACTGGAAGTGATGTAATACACATCACTTCTACTTTTAGTGATCAGAAGGGAGATCAGCCACCAAGAAATAACTGGGTGCCAGGGGGGGTGCAACTTCTGTGCGAATGGGCAGAAATTACACCCCCAGTGGCCATCCAGTGCTGAGTAAGAGTGCCGTGGGACCCAGAAAAAGCAACGGGGGATATGGAGGCGCATTGTACAGAGTGGCAACTGGAGGCTGGACCTGTCACGGCTGGAGAAGGGCACTGTGAGGTAAGTGTGCCATACTTGCACATTATGTCTACAGCTCACCCACACACAGCAGAATATTTTACTTTAATTATGTATTGGCACATGAAATCCTGACATTTTGTATGTATTCAATTATCCCTAAAGCAGGATTACATAGCTGAGCATGGTGTTGGCTGTCTGTACTGGCACATTGTGACACAATGGCTCTTTGTGTTTGCTGTGTAAATAACAGATTTAGCTAAGAACAAGCTATAAAGAATGTGACAGGAAAACATTTGGACAAGGATATTTAGTTTTCTCATGCAATTAAAAAATGAAACACAATCTATAACTATCTCATATACAGACAGGTGATGTGTGTATGCATACTTCGATATAAGCTGACTTCTGAGATCACCCACATAAATACTGTATGCCGATTATGGACACAAAAAAAAAGCATAATTTGTTTTATGGTATAAAAGTATATTTCCACTTCTGCAGTCAAATTGAGAATTTATTTGTTTTACATCTTTTTAAAATGCCTTACCTTTTAGATGTTTCTTTGGAGAAGGCCTTTGGGCAGACAGCAAGCTACTCTGTACAATTTCAATGTGAGTCTGCCCCCAAGACAAGCCCCAAACCCAAACCTCAAGATCTTTAACCCTTTGATAGGGTTCAGATCTACTTTATAGCTGATAATGGGATCTGCCAGCACAGTACAGACAGGGTTAATTATGGTAAACATTAAAACACCCCCTTTGGACTCCAAAGGAAAAAAGAGAGAGTAAAATGTAAGCAGTGCTTTTTTTAGATATTTTTTAAAGTTATGCTATATAAACGGGAACCTGTAACAAATATACAATAGGGCAGGGGTCTCAAACCTCCGGCCCTCCAGCTGTGGTAAAACTACAAATCAGATGATGCATCTCTCTTCGGGAGTCATGTCTGTGGCTATGAGAATCTTGCAATGCCTCGTGGGATTTGTATTTCCACCACAGCTGGAAGGCTGGAGGTTTGAGACCCCTGCAATAGGGGGTTCATTTATAAAAGTTCCACACGGCTATATTCCATTTGCATGGCACCAGCGCTGCAGATGGCACTGATGAGTATAGCAATTTACTTTCCTCGTCAGCGCAATCTTGGGGAGCTAGTGCTGGCTGCAAAAGTGGATATACACTTTAAAACAGGTTTTAGTCACAGCTGCACATTGATTAATTCCTTTCATGTTCACTGCATAATAAATCAGCACCATTACATAATCACATGGTCATCTCCTCCCCCCATGGACAGCTAAAAAGATTATGGATGTCAGTCTTTCATGAGACATAAAAGAACATACTCCACTAAAGGTGCCCATACACCTTGTGATTATCGTACGATAATAGCGGGAAATCCCGCGATCGTACGATAATCGCAAGGTGTATGGAAGGCGCGCAACCGTTTCTACTGTACGGTTGCACGTCTTTTGTCTAACGAGCATGTTTGAAAACTCGCCGAGAATCGTACGATTGTCGGCGGGTTTGTGGCATGCTCGGGAGCCAAATGCCGAACGGGCCAGTGTGCGCAAGCGCACACTGCCCGTTTAGCATTGCAGTCATCGGAAGGGGGGCGGGCTTTCGATGATCGCAAGTACGTTCTGCCTGTCCAAGATGGGCAGATCTAACGAGCTTTTAATTAGATAACAACCATCACAAGACATAAGTCTTGCGATGGTTGTAAGGTGTATGGCCACCTTAATCCCATGCTCCTGGTCCATGCTTCAGCTGCTCCAGTTTTTGATAAATTCCCCCCATTGCACATGTATTTAAAAGCATGTATAGCTGGTTGCCTTGCAGTCCACTTTAAATCTGTATTCGGTATCAAAGTCCCACATGAAAATACCAGTAAAGCCAACACGTTTTTCATTTAGTTTTGGATAGAGAAGGAAAGTGTTAAAGGCTAATTCCATATTTTGCAAAAAATGAATAATTGTTTAAATTATATTTAAAAATATAAATATATGATATAATATATAATAAAATGCTATCTGCTTTGGAGTCTGATTACAGCTGCAACAAGCATATCGTGGGTGCAATGCACAGGTTCCTGCAGGCTATTCCCCTCAGCCCCAGGTCCGTACCGAGGCAATGTACATTATGCACCCTAAATATGAGTGAAACATGAAACAAGGTCGAAATTAATTAGCCTTTAGCCTGTCAGTTTATTTATTGCTGTCTATGACCTGTAAGGAGATATCTCTTCACTTTCAGCCCTGGCGAAACAGGAAGTGAGAAAAAATCTCTAAAAAGTATCACTTTGTAGTATGAAGTTTGTATTAAGTGTTCCCATTGGAAAATTTCCCCTCACCTTTTATTCTGGATTTTTCATTATTTTCTTGATATGAATGATCATCAGAACAAACAGAGAGGGGAAATCTCCCCAGTGGGGACATCAATAAAAACATCACAGGTTTCTAATCCTTCCCCACTCCATCCGAAACTAAAAATAACACTTTTTGGCCATAATTTGCTGACTGCATTCACTTACCTATAGGTTTGGGATTCATAACTTTCTACTTCTCGCCCCACAAAAGTATGTAAAACAATCTAAAAAATAAAAGGACAAATTGAAATATACATTATCGTAACCAAAAACGGAATATATTGTATTATTAAAGGTGAGAACCAGCCATGTTATTTACATATTTGTTTCTGCCCTCAGAGAAAATCTTTCTACACTATATTGTCACTTTATATCAATAAAACCTCAGCTGAGAGATATGGAGGCTGTCACTAGTTGCCTACTAGACTTTGGCTTTATTATTTTCTAAGTCACTGGAGTGTAGCAAGCAGGCAACCAGTAAAGTCAGAGTGATGTCAGAATTCTGAATCAGTGTGGTGTAAATGAATATCTCTAATTGAAAGCTAGGGCTCCTTAAAGAACCTTCTCATCCCACACATGAAATGGCTGCATCCCCTGCTACATGCTGTGGTTCCTTTCTGATAGCCCTAATGTCACCACTGTGTGCTGTAGAGATTTAGAGGCCAGTGGATGGAACCATGCCGCACAGTGGGGGACACAGTCATCTGACACACCCAGAAGTATATTGGATCTAAAGGTGCCCATACACTGCACGATTATCGTACGATAATCGTATGCGATCGGTTTTTCGTACGATAATCGAGCAGTGTGAACGGAGACGTGCGACCGTTTCTACTGTACGGTCGCACGTCTTCTGTCGAACCAGCATGTTCGAAAACCAGCCGGGAATCGTACGATTCTCGGCTGGTTAGAACGGTGCTCGGAAGACAAATGCCGAACGGGCCGGTGTGCGCACGCGCACACTGCCCGTTCAGCATTGCGGTCATCGGAAGCCCGCCTCTCAGGGGGGCGGGCTTGCGATGATCGAGAGTGCGATCTGCCTGTCCAAGATTGGCAGATCGTACGTTTTTTTAATCCCTGTAAAACCATTGCAAGACTAAAGTCTTGCTATGGTTGTAGAGTGTATGGCCACCTTGATAGACAGATGACAGGTAGATTGATAAATTCCAAAAACAATCTGGTGCCTTACTTAAAGTGAAACTGTCACGTAATATACCTATAAGTGAAACGTATAATTATATTAAGCATCAGAGATTGTTGATCCAGGGAATAGCCGATTGCCTTATGGGATCAGGAAGGAATTTTTTCCCCTGCTGGAGCCAATTGAACCATGCTTTATAGGGGTTTTTTGCCTTTCTCTGGATCCACAGTGGGTAATTGTGGGCATAGTGTTCTGTTTAGGCTTTTTTTTTTTCATATCTCTATGGGTTGAACTCGATGGACATGTGTCATTTTTCAACCTGACTAAATATGTAACTATGAGGGAATAATGGAGGTTGCCACTGCTGACCTCTCCTTTTGAGAATGCCTGCTCTATGGCTGTCTACCTGAAACAATGACCTCAGTTCTGTCTGAGTTAACATAAAACAGGTATAAACATAAGGAATTCCGACACTCATTTACGGCACATTGTTCTTGGCCTGTGACTCACAATCACTGAAAACAGACACAGCCAAGCAACTAGCATTTTAAAGAGGCAGCAATGGGAGCCCCCATATCTTTCTTATATTAGGTTCACTTTACAAAGATGCTGTACAGTACTCTTGCTGTGTAACCGTCTCCTAATATCTCCATTTCTGAGTCTCTTTATTGTATCTTTTCATTGTCTGTGCACTGTATGGAACGTATAGCCTGTTCCTATTATTATTATTATTATGTCTAGCTCTGGATGGAAAGCTCAGATGAATAAAGGATAATAATGACAACATAACCTAAAACGGCATTAATACAACTTTACAGTAGCAGAAGACATATAATTGTAGTCTTACCATTCCTCCATGTACCATGACATCTAGACGCACCCACTGATACAAAGGGAGACTAAAATGGGATAATATCGCAATGTCACTTCCCTTCCTTAGCTGCATCTGAACATGAACCTGACCTGGTAACACAATAACAAATACATATAACAGATCTTCATACACCCGAGGTTACAAGGACTTTGCATATCACATCATTATTTGTTGTCTGATGCCCAATTGACTTGAGTTTTACCTTTTGTTAATTAGTTAACACTTCCCTGACGTGTTTCTGAGAGCCAGACCACTACACCACATGGCCATAGCACTGCAGGTTATGAACAGAGGTATAAAAAGAGGACCTGTCTTTACAAATATCACACTGTACACAAATCAATTGGCATCATCAAATCACATTATTATTTTAATAAAGAAAACCCTTACTTGTGTGATAAAGAAAAACTGCAGCTCCATGATTCCTTGGTGTGAACTAAAACCTTGGCAAACATCACATGGATTCTGGCTACCAGAAGCACTGTGTGTGTTTAACATCATTAGATACTGATAAAAGACAGACCTGCTCTTTTAAGGGGCTCACAGAAATGTATTGAGTGATCTCCCCCTCACAGTTACCCGTTGCTTAAAACAGGACACCTAAAGAATGATTAAGAGAGAAGTTCTGCCTGAGCAGATGCATATTCATGGTTAGAACCTGCAAATGAAGCCAAAACTTTGTTGTAGTTTTGTATCGAGTGGAGAGGGGTTAGAGCACCTGTCAGGTTTTTATTGCTGTCTATGTCCCCGTCAGAAAGATTCACCCTCTCTACTTGAGAAAAAAATTGTCTAGTTTGTATATCCTTTAACGGTTTTGCAATCAATAAAAAGTCTATTTTATATCTATTGTGTAATTTTTTTTTCACAATTAAGGTCCATAGGCCAACTGGGGCGAGTTCAACAAACACTTTTCAGTCTATAAAATCTCTCTACCAGCACTACATTTTCTGGGTATATGAACAGTTGTTGAAATACTTAAAGACCATTAATGCAAACTCCACTGGTGGAAAGGGAACAGACCTTTGCGAATTTCACAAATTTAGTTGTCTTAGCAAATAGAGGGAAATTTTTATAACGAGTAGAAAAAATTGTCACCAGCACACCAAAGAGAATTTTCAGCAAAAAGTCCCTTTTAATGACACATTGCCATTCAGTTACTCAATACAAATAACTAAACTAAATGTGAGATTGTGGTCCATCACAGGAGTGAGCTTGTGGTCGACTGTGGCCATCCCCCCAACACCCCCCAATGAGATGCCTCCTGCCACATTATAGGGGCGGCCCTGGTTGTTGCTTGCACCTGTTGGCACCTTAAAAGTCCCGATTTTGGTATATGCTTGGTTAACAGTTATACTGTATGGTTGGGACATGGTGCAGAGACCCATCAGGCAGTCCAGCTCGTTGATATTACAGATATGCAAAGTGACCAAATCGCAACCAATCTCAATACTTGTTACAGAGAGGAAACCAGTAGATGAATTCTGATTGGATGCTAGGAGTACTTCATTTGGCACTTAGTAATTTGCTTATTGTACAGTTTTACTTAACATGCCTATTAGTGTCTGCCAGGCTAGGGATCCTACCATGAAAAATCCAACCGAGCTGCAATTTATCTTTAGCTATACCTGCCTTAATTTGCTGAGACTCAAATCTACTGAAAGTGTATTTCCACTTTTGCAGCCAAATTTGAGAAATCCCCTCCCCCTATATGTTTGTTATGTGTTCCTATTCAATAAAAGGTAATACAAAAGATTTCTTACCCTTAGAGTAGATTATACATACAACTCTACAGTTAGTTTCTAGTGGTTAGAATAGGCACCTGTCAGCTGATAAGAGACTGATTGAGGGACAGTTCTTTTAAAAGAGCATTAGCATACAATGTCCTCAGGTCTCTAACCCTTTAAGGGCACACAGTCCTGCTCATCTAGTTTACAAGTGATGATGAAAGAATGAGAGAATAAGCAGGATTTTTCAGTCCTGGAGTTTGCAGAAACATCATTGATAAAAGGTAAAGCTTACTTTTTATTGAAGTCATGCTATGTGAATGGAAACATGTAACAAATGTAAAGTAGGTGTTATCCCAAAGTGGAAAATATACTTACATTTTTTTTTTTTTTGCTTTCTGGGGAGTTTAACTGCTAAAAATGTATTCTGTCTCTTGGGGACTCCTTTGGTGAGATCTCTGAGTTTTCAGGTCTGCACATCTTCTTTGACAGTTAGGACAGTTTCCATTTTCTAGCTGAGTCATTAATTCATTTTATTTGGTTGAAAATGCATTTCATACGTAGAGAGCTGTTACATTTTTTGGGAGTGTTTTGGCTGTCTCAGTTGCTATTGTTTCTGGACTGTATGGGTTCTGACACTTGGGAGGCTCTACTACTCTAAAAGTGACAGTAGAGTAATAGTTCTCATATCTTTATTCCATAGCTGGGCAATCACTGATATTTTACATACAATTTGTGATGACCCCAAAAAGGGAGCTATCACTGAGTCACAAACACACTAATCCCCAGTGACCCGACAGGCACAAGACAAGACAAGGGAAAACAAATTACGCCATGATGAATGCAGCAAACTATTAGATCATTTCATTTTTAATCCGCACTGGAAAAAAGACAGCTAGAATCCGACTGGCTGCTTTGGGCAATAATTCCACTTCCCAGTATGTCTCAATCATGCCACGGGCACTTGGTGATTTGACAGTAATGGTTGCTCATTGTATATACAGACAAAGGTAAACTGATATCTATTTGAAAGAAGTTTAAAAGATTTAGAAACTACAACCTGATCTAATCTACTTTACAACATTGACTTTAAATATTAACAGGAAGCATAGGTTACTTACCTGTAGGAGTCAGGAAAAGTAGTGGTGTTGTATACATCTTACTACTGTCTACATGATGGATGATCCCACATTCTTTACTTTTACAATAGTCCAACAAATACATCCAGATGGAAAATGTAAACCTGAAAAAAATAATATATGTACAATATATAGGCAATATATATACTGTATATACAGTTGTGTGAAAAAGTGTTGGCACCCTTCCTGATTTTTCATTGTTTTGCACGTTTGTCACACTTTAATGTTTCAGATCATCAAACAAATGTAAATATTAGTCAAAGATAACACAAGTAAACACAGCATGCAGTTTTTAAAGGAAGGTTTTTATTATTAAGGGAAAACAAAATCCAAACCCACATGGCCCTGTGTGAAAAAGTGTTTGCCCCCCCTGTTAAAACATAACTTAACTCTGGTTTATCGCGCCTGAGTTCCATTTCTCTAGCCACACCCAGGCCTGATTACTGCCACACCTGTTCACAATCAAGAAATCACTTAAATAAGACTTGACTGACAAAGTGAAGTAGACCAAAAGATCCTCAAAAGCTACACATCATGCCGACATCCAAAGAAATCCAGTAACAAATGAGAAAGAAAGTAATTGAGATCTATCAGTCTGGAAAAGGTTATAAAGCCATTTCTGAAGCTTTGGGACTCCAGGGAACCACAGTGAGAGCCATTATCCACAAATGGCAAAAACATAGAAAAGTGGTGAACCTTCCCAGGAGTGGGCGCCCAACCAAAATTACCCCAAGAGCGCAGCGACGACTCATCCAAGAGGTCACAAAAGACCCCACAACAACATCCAAAATCCAACACACACCCCTGCCGAGTCAGACCTACAAGGCTCCACTCAGCAAAGCTGATGCTTCCTGCTGATTGGAGAACTCTACTGTAGTTCTGACTACTCAAAGAGACTACTGCTTCTACACAGAAGACAGGAAGGGTCCTTTTCTACAGACTGTTCGCAGGGGACGGGCTTTCTACTCAGGCTGTGGCTGCTTTCTAAAGAAAAGGAACTCATTGAAGTGGTTAAATCTGCCATGCTCAGTGAGTGATCCACCTGTCTATAGGCAGAACAAACTGTAAAGTGCACATGTAGTTACTGTACAGGAGTGAGTTACATTTAGAAGTTTCAGCAATAACTTAGTTATTTTTTTTAGTTTTCGATAGAGTATGGGATTTCCCTTTACTTCCTGTCCAACAGCCACAAACGAAAGTGAGGAGAAATCCCTCCAAAGAGAGTGAAATCCCTGGTTGTCAGCAAGGTCACCAGAACTAATAGAGAGGGTGAATCTTGCAAACGGGGACACAGACACTCTATCCAGATATAAAAAAAAGCCTTTGGCTTCAATTTCCCCTTAAAGGAGAACTATGGGGTTAGGGCTTTTCCCCATAGTTCTCCTTAGGGTAACGGGAGGACACAAACTAGCGTCCTCCCGTTACCCAAAGCTCAATATACTGAGACGCCGCAGCTGAAGCGGATCCCGACAATTATGTCTAGATCCGCCCAGCTGCGTGAGTGACAGCTGGTTCTGCCTATCTAGAGGCAGAGCCAGCTGTACCCGCCCCCTCCCCGTCCGTTCCGCCAGTCAGCGCTGGCGGATCGGAGCGGGGAATCCAGCCAATCCCCTGTCACGGCAGAGAGCTGTGACAGGATCGAGAAGTGAGCGAACGCCGGTATATGTTCTCTCACCTCCCGATCTACTGAGCCGACCTGTGACTGTCTCATTGTCACAGGTCGGCTAGAACTATGAGGTGAGTGAAAAGCACTCACCTCATAGTTCTCCTTTAATGTCCAGGCAGGAGATAACATTAACGATACAATATTTTCATATAAATGAATACTGACTGGCCCTGGACGTCTTTTCCATATGCAATTAAAAGAGAAGTAAAGCCAAACCTTTTTTTTGGCTTTACTTCTCTTTTGGGTCACAGCAGAATATTTACTAATGTCCTCCTGTGACCCAAAGTCAGCATATAGCGGAATAATGCTGATATATGCTGACAGCGAAGAGCTGCGCCTCAGTCAGGAAGGATCCCAACACTACTGTTGTGATCCACCCAGCTGCCTGATTGACAGCTGTCTCGCCCCTCCCCTTTCTGTCCCTCCAATAAGCGCTGGAGGAACAGAGATGGGATGGGGAAATACCTGCGTGGAATGGTGATTGACAGTTACTGCTCTCTGCATGGAGAAGACCATGAGCTGAACGATCAGAGGTCATTTGATCAGTCAGCTCTTGAGCTACAGAGCCAGCATGTGACAGCTGCAGTGTGCCACGTCAGCTCTAAGCATTGGGAAGAGTATATTTTACTCTCCCATTACTTCTCCTATATTGTGTGTCATGTGTGGGAAAAAAATGAGTATTCAGTGTTATCTCATCTCACATCGGGTAATGCTTAACAAGCTGGCGTCTTCTCATCTCCAGGTCTATGTTATTAAATGACTCAAATTTCTTGATAAGGCCGCTGTATTCATGGCTTGATGCCAGCGGGGAAGAGATCAGGGTGAACACATCTATAGACAGAAGGGAAGAGATATTACTACAGAGAACACAACATAAGCTTTCTGCTGTAATACACTTAAGAAGAACTCTACACAAAATGCAAACCTCGATTAGTTAATTAGAAATAAATGGGGTAAACTGGGGAGTTAACCACTTGAATTCCCAGTGCCGTGGAATGGGAATGCTAACAGTAGGAGAAAGCAGAGTGGCAGAGAGATTAGCTCATCAGTCTCACACTTTCAGTCAGGGGAAGGGGCAAGACCTGTAAGTGTCAGCATAGAAAATCAGGTCCCCTTCCCTGCCAGACAGGGCTGTGCTGTGTGGCAGAGCTGTGTACATCTCATCTCAGGACTTGATGGACAAATATACAAATCCATAGGCAGATAAAACATATCCCGTATATGTATTTTATCTGTATTTAGCTGTTTGTCTGGAGTTCAATTTAATTATTTTGGTGTTGCATCAGAGCAAATCTTTCTGTGTACTTCAGGTACAAATTAGTCACATGCAGTGCTGTTGGATGCAGCTGTAAGCTGTCAACCCTTCACACAATGATTGATCTAGAAACGTGTTGGGTGTTGATCTGTAGCCTTCAGTACAGGAACTTCTTCAGCTCATAAAAAGTAATTTCCTATTAATACTACTTTGAATGCCAGCCGTGTCCTCTGCCAGGGGAGCATTATAGTTTAGGGTCTGAGGGATATAAATATAGTTTCGGCAGGGAGCCACCTTGGGGATGAGGAAAGGGAGTATGGGTCCATGAGAATATAAAGGACCAGACACAGCAAGATGTAGAAGCTGAATATTTCTCTATCAGCTTCCCCTTGGCAGGGGAAGTAAGGGGAAGGAGAGGGAGGTCTTTTTAAGGAACTTGCATGTCTATGGAAGGATGCAGGACTTTTGACAAACCCTTCCACAGTTCTGGGCTTCACCTCAAGACTCATATCCAGGGCCGGATTCCCCACAAGGCCATGAGGCCCGACCTCGGGGCGGCAGGAAGCAGAGGGGCAACAGCGGTGTGAAATCCCCCAACGCCTAGGACATGCAGTTATGGGCGCCGGGCAGGTAGTTGTTTTCTACATTTAGCCCTGCTTTGGGCTAAATGTAGTGTGAAGAAGCAGCTTTTTCGTTCATTCCACCCCACCCCCCGCACCTACCTCTCTCCTGGCTGGCTCCGTCCTCCGAGTTTCTCTCCTCGCTGGCCGCTGATGCGGTGAGCAGTGCGGCAGGGTTAAAATGAACCCTGCCACTCCGTGTAAACAGTGAGAGGGGAGAGCAGTCTTCCCCTCTCAGCTGTCACAGGATTTCCAGCACAGTGCTGTGCTAGAACTCCTGTATTGGAGGTGACAGGTTCAATAAAGAGAACCTGTCACCTCCAAATGCTATCACACAGGGGCGGCCAGGCAGTGATGGGCTAATGGAAAGCATAGTGAATCCCTGGCGCCGGATAGGCAGTACACGTGCAGAGCATGGAGCCTGGCATACACCCACTCTTACATTACACCACCATCACCTCTCCTCCCTGGTGACAAGTTTCCCTCAAATCGTCTCCAAACTAATCTTATTCGAATCCAGAGATAAAGCATCGTGCTAAGAATGATGATTTGATGGAATCTCACATACGCGGAACTGCCTGGGACATTGCCTACCGTTGTATCCTTAGCTATGTCAGCATTAACATATTTCTTGTATGATTTATGACCCTGCAAACAAGGAAATTCGTTTCACACAGCAGAACAGTGTTAAGACGTGTTTAATGTACATCAAACTGGCTGCCATCACTTCCTGTCACTACTATGCACCCGGACATCCACTTCTTATGCAACATTTAGGGATGTTCATAGACTTTAAAATAAAACATAAGAAGGCCGGCTTTACAATAGAAGCGAATCCGGTAAACTGACCGCCTCCCCCCGCCGTGTTTCCCGGGCTCCGCTGCCCCTCCTAGGGGCCTGGGATCGGCATCTCAGGTGTCGGTGGGAAGCTGGGGAGGAGAGCGGCAAATGTCCATTCAGACCCCCCAGTATCACCTTAAAGAGTACCTGTCACCCCCAAAATCCTATCACTTGTAAGCCCCCCTATGCCTATCTCTGCGCACATCAGATTGAGAGCAATAATTCTAGGGCAAATATTTATGCGTATCTCTAAAATGATGACCTATGGGGGCTTTTAAAGTGTCGTCTATGGGGTACTGAATTTTGTTGCCGTTTCACAGACGCACACAATTTTTTACCTGGGCATGCTGGGTATCTATTTAATCCGTGTAACCTCATCTTTTATATTTTAATAAAAATGGGTATTTCATTGAGTTTTGGGGCATTTAAGTGCATTTTCCACAAAATTTTGAGGTTTGATAATAAGTTGCGCTAATATCGTGCAATATTTGGGGGTTTGAAGTAATTTTCAGGCCTAAAATGTGGATTATAACATGGGTGCAAAAAACGGGAAAAAAAAAAAGGCCTCGGTCATGAAGGGGTTAAGATCTAGAATCATTGTATGTTAATGAGGGGAAGTTCAGTGTTTGCCTATTCTTTTTATAGGAAGTTATTTTCCTCTCACTTTAAAAATGTCAACATTAGCTTGCAGTTTGCACAGAGGCCTGCTACATAGAAATATCTGAAAGGTAAGAAATATTTTTGTAAAAATTATTTTTAGATATGTTGTATGAAGCAAAACACATAAAAAAAACATATAGTGGGATTTACACTTTAAGTGGTTTGTTTAAAACAAATTGCAGGGTCCTTTGCCCGGTAATGTTTGTTCTGTGCAAATAAGGACAAAAACGACCGTACTTAAAGTGACATTAAAGTAACAATCCCCCCCCCCCTCCAAGGACTTACCCTAAATAATGCCTCTTGATCCGATCATCTTCTTCTTTCCAGTAGTTTTCAGGAGTACCCCCAGCACTGGTGCCGGTCTCTGGTCCAGCGCTGACAGCTGTGTCTTCTGTGTCCCATGTCTGTCCGCATGCACGCTGCCGGGCTACCTGCATTACTTTACCCTGTGTCTCTCCTCTTCTCCCGGTAGAAGATCTTTCCTGCGCATTCGCCTGCCCCATGATCCTTCATGGCCGCTCGAGAATCTTCAGATCTTTACGGGAGCAAGTGGCAGAGACACTGATAAGTAATAACCTGTTTGGTAACTTTTTTTATTTCTTTTTAACGTCTTTACATATAACTACTGCTTGCTAGCAGTAGATATATGCAAAAAAAGATGGTTTAATTCTACTTTAATCTATTTTATTCTTACCGTAGGTTGAATGTATTGATGCAATACTACATTATGGCCACTAGATGGAGCTGAGACACATAGAAAATAAATGATGAGCCTTTACAATTAGAACCAAAAAAAAGAACCAAAATCCAATGAATGAAAGGGGCAAGCCAGAGACAGTAAAGCTGAAGAGGCTAGAACTAGATGATGCTAGATGCCCTCCAGCCAGGAAATGAGGTGGGGTCTATCTGACTTGCCACAGCTTCTACATGTGCAGTGTAAGAAGCTTAAAGTGAGCAATGAAATCTTGGAGTTCTGTGCCAAAGAGAAAACTATTTTTACACAAAGCCTGCCCCGGCATGTTACCAGAAATAAAATGAAAGTTTTGGAAAGGTCTGCACTCTGCCATCAGCCTGAGTACAAAGTAACCTGGGCACTGCGAACACAATGAGAGAGTTTTGAACGTTTTAATGGAGAACCGGTGTTCTACTGAAGTACCAGAAAGACTGACTTGTGTAGCCCCAAGTTTCTTCATAGGCCCACTCAGACCTATTGTGGAGATTTCAGATAAGATAACCAGGAATCAGATAATAGTCTATTGACATATCCTTGTCAAACCAGATCCCAGAACTACTCTTCCTGTTGCAATAAAACCTTCAGATAAGATTACATAGGTGCTGCTGATGGCTGCAATGGCACAGGTTGTTTTTTTTCTCAGTTTATTCCTCACATATCAAGGGCAAACTATTGTTAAAGGATTTGCAACCACTCAACCTGAAAATTGACTGTAGTAAAAGACTTCCTTCATTCAATTTACTAGCAACTATGAAGCTTGCCATACATGACTTGAATTTCGTCTGTGGGTGGCTCGGTCAGCACCAATCGGATCCACAAAATTCAACTGGAAAATATTTGGCTGAACAATGACTGCATCCAATCATTGGGTTCAGTGGCTGCCTGAATACAATAGCTGACAGTGTAGACTCTGAAGGTTCCATGTGCCGGGCAGGTGTTTTTTTTTCTACATTTAGCTCTGTTGCGGGTAAGCAGTGTTAAATGTAGAGCAGGGGAGCAGTCAGTCGTTTTATACCTCCACCCCGGCTCCCCACCATGATTTTAGTGGTCCCACTGTGGAGAGGAAGGATCAGACTGGAAAACTTCTATTCTCCGATCTGCTCTGTGAGATCAGTGAGATAGGAGTGCTGTACTCACAACGCTTCCTGTCTCAGTTGTCTTCTGTATTGGAGGGCACGCTCTATAAAGACCTGTCGCCTGTGTGATAGCAATACAGTTAAGTAAAAAATAAATAAAAAGAAGATAAAAAATAAAAAATTAAAACCAACCCTGCTGCCCCCACTATCTGCATGCGAATAAACGCACATGTAGGTAATTGTGTGTGCGTGCGCTGAGTGCTGCCCCCATTCCGCTGTGTTCCATATTGTGGTAGCCGGGCAGCAGCGCTCTCTTAAGGTGCCCATACACCTTACAATTATCTGCAGATTTTCTGTGGTCAGCTGGCCATACACCTTACAATTTATCTCCAGATTCTCTATGGTCAGATTGGCCCAGGTGGAGATTACTCAATCCACAAAGTTAAGTGTAGATGGAGGAATCTGTTGCACCTTTTCCATCTGACCATAGAGAATCTGGAGATAAATTGTAAGGTGTATGGCCAGCTTTACACGCACAATGTTCATTATAGTGTAAGTTCACTTTTGCAAGTAATTTGGGAAAATGGAATTACCCGCTCAAATCTGGTCCCCTTCCCACTATACTTACATTTCGGAAAGTGGCCCTTCCCCTCCGCCAGTACAGGTGTAGTATCCGTACCCCGTACTGCCGTCCTGCGCTATGGAAATGCAAACTGCAAGCACTCACTGTTCAGCGTGGTCAGATGACTAAGCTGACCAATGAGTGCTTGCAATTTGAAGCATTTCTTAGCACAGATAAATACGGTTTGTCACGAGGGACAAATAGATTGTGACAAGGGACAAGTAGATTGTCACGAGGGACACGTTGATTGGGCCCCCACTTTAGTCCTTGGACAAGTAGTTTTTTTTAGTTAAATGTCCACACCCCTGAGACTCTGCTCTATGTAACATGGATGGGGGTATTAAGTGATTTCTCTCATTCAGCCCTTGTGTATGGCCATATATAAAATGAATCTCGGTCAGTTTTTGTCAACCAGACAAAATTCACTCCATGAGTGGCTCTGTCGGAAGCCTCACCAATCATCTGCAGTCATTGTTTGGGTATACTGACACTGTTTGGGCGCAAGCTGTTAGGATACAATATCTGCAGTGGGAGATTTGTCCATCTACTGTGTTTACTAGTGTATGGCCAGCTTGACACTATCCCAGCTTGATGCAACCATACAACTAGGTAATTGGTATACAAATAGTACATGTTAATAAACAACAATATAAAATAAAAAATAAACATCTGCTATTTATACCTTTATACTATAAACATAAACAATATGCTTACTATACATGTAAACAAACAATGAAAAATTGTGCATTGTCACCCAGTGAATACACGGCGATCGCTGCACAAGACTCAGTTCAGTTATAAAAGTTGGTTGTTTTCAGCAACAAGAATTCTTTTGCATTTACTTTCAGGTGCAAACTGAATGGCAGACATTGAATGATCTATAGTTGTGTAAGTCTGCAGATATCTGTACATTTTGAGGTTCATTTAAAGATGTCAGATACATGATGATTTCTATACTCGGCAGTGTTATCTAGGGGCGCTAGTGCCATATGAATAGCATCAGCCCGGTGTATATAAATGAACCCCAAAGGGTATAGATACTTGCAGATTCGTCTGCCATGCAGTTTGCACCTAAGGCCTCATTCACACAGCTAAGTGTCGGCCCGTACAGATCCGTGCGGCATGCACGGCCGCATTGGGCCGCTCCCGGGAAGGACAGGTGCTGCGTGTGATTGTACACAGCAGCCTGTTCTTCTCTATGGGAGTACACCACTGTAGGCTCACCCAAACTGAACATCCGCACGGGTATCCATGCTCGGACGCAGACAGTATCCATCCTGTCTGCGTACGAGTACGGACACGCGCAAGGATGTGCAACTCGGGTGAGCGTACGGTCGGCGTACTCCCATAGAGAAGAACAGGCTGCTGTGTACAATCACACGCAGCACCTGTCCTTCCTGGAAGCGGCCCGATACGGCCATAAATACCGCACGGATCTGTACGGGCCGACACTTAGCTGTGTGAATGAGGCCTAAAAGTAAATGCAAAATAGTTCTTGTTGCCTAAAACAACGAAAACCATTTTCCCTTTTATTTTTCCACTGCAGTGTGAGAGAATAAACAAGATCATCTGATTAGCTGGTATAGATAACAAGTTCCCTTTTCACAGATATACTTGCCTGATCCTCAGTCCAGCCTGGCTACTAGAGCAGTTCCTGCAGCCTCTTCTCCCCCGGGCTCTGGCCGTCTAAGCCCCGCTGACGCCATCACATCTAATACGAGTCTATCAATCTGCATTAGATGTGAGGATGCAGTGGGGCGTGCCACAGCCGGAAAACGGAGGGGGAGTGAAGTAAGCGCTGATTGCCACAGGACTGAGGATCAGGTGAGTATATTTTCTGTATTCCGAGCCCATAGACCAAAACGAGCACTTAAACCTTTCAGTGCAGGGGTAGCCGCACTGCAAGGATTCATTTTTTCATTTCCGGAGTTACTTTCTATGAAATGCTTTAAGCTGGAAATGCATAGCATGGACTTACCTGTTTCCAATGGGCACACAGATATGGATGTTTCCTTTTTCCTCCACCTGTGCTCTAGGTACCATGACTTACATATCTGATGATCTTTGTAAGGACGCTGATGTGGTGGTCTGGTATCTACCACTTTATAAGCCTTGGCTGCTGCATAGAAAATGGTTTCGTTGTGTTTGGAGTCACTTTCTACGTGGTCATTGTGCACCACCCACGCACGTAGTGCCACAAAGTACACCTCTATGCTGTGCTTCATGATATCATCGCTCCTGTAGACCATACGACTGGGAAGCATCAAGTTTACGGAGCGGCTCCGGAGCTCATGGACATGTTTCTCATTCTTCCAAGACTTTTTAAATACTAAAATCCCAGTTCTAAATTCCGAGGAAGCCACAACGTCCATGTGCACCGTGCAAGGCCTGCTACACAGATATTCCACGGAAATGTTTGCATTGGCAAGACCTTCTGGAGCGTTCTCAAAAGTGACATAGTCTCTGTTATTCAAGTACCGCTCGGATTGTTTGGTTACAGACGTTGTCTCCTTAGTGGAGCACAGGAACGGAACCTGTGGGAAGAATACAAAGTCTTCAGATGATTTTGATTGGTTTTAAACAACCTGATATATATGCAACTTTTACATTATTAAGTTAAGAATATTTAAAATATGAAGGCCTTAGTGATCGATTGGTGCATCCTAACCAGAGAGGTTTGCAGGTAGATTTTTCTTCTTTTTTTTTGCTTTTTTCTTCTTTTCTTTTTTTTTTTTGTTTGTTCTGTTTTTTTGTATTTATTTGCATTTGTAATTGTATTTAACATAAAAAAAATTAATAAAGAGATAATTAAATAACAACAAAAAAAGTCTTCATATTTATAAAAAATAAATAAAGTATATACAATATATAAAAATACAAAGATGACTAAAAAAAAATAAATAATCATATTTAAAAATTCTGAAATTCTGTCTAGATCCCTAAAATTTCCCCAGAGCCCCCAACAGTAAAGTTAAATAAATAAATTTAAAAAAAAACGTAGAAATTAATGTTTACATTTTTTTAAAAAGGTGGGGAAAAAAAGTAATTTTCGTTTTTCGGCCTGACATATTTTTTATTTTTGGTTTCAGTCTAAAAATTCTATTTCGGTGCATCTCTAGTAACAAGGGAAGTAAGTAGTAGGAATGGAAGTAGTACTAGGAAGGGAAGTAAGTAGTAGGAAGAGAAGCAAGTTGTAGGAAGGGAAGTAAGTAGGAGGAAGTAGTAGTAGGAAGGGAAGTAGTAGGAAGGGAAGTAAGTAGTAGGAAGGGAAGCAAGTAGTAGGAAGGGAAGTAAGTAGAAGGAAGTAAGTAGTAGGAAGGGAAGTAGTAGGAAGGGAAGCAAGTAGTAGGAAGGGAAGTAAGTAGAAGGAAGTAGTAGTAGTAGGAAGGGAAGTATGTAGTGGGAAGGGAAGTAAGTAGTAGGAACGGAAATAAGTAGTAGGAAGTAAGCAGTAAAAAGTAACCTGTTACTATATGGAGGGACCCTCAACCACTAAGATAGCAAGGATGAAAAAAGCAATTTTGACATAAGGTACCTAAGCTGGTAGTTTGGGGGTCTCACTCCTGAACAATAATTGGTCTAAGCAGATACTTCTATGCCAGTCTAATCTCAAAGGATCTGATCAGGAGAAACCACACAGACCCAATACATATTCCCCTAGATTGGTTAGTCAGGGGGTGTCTGTAGAGCTTCCACATTGTCATAGACATATTACCATTCCCTGATCCAGCCACAACACATTAACAGGTAAAAATGATGTCATATCTAGTAGAACCATCTACACAAGATTAGACTGCAGATAAGCTTGTGGACATAATGCCTATACCGAGGGCTTTGTTATACAGGACTGATAGGATCTGTGACTCATTAAACTAATGGCAGAGGGTCAGCAGAGAGATATTATCTAGAAATGAGCCAAATCTGTCTTTCAAGTGTTTCACGTGGATGACTAATTGAAGAGTAGTAATAACATGGATTACTATTCCCAGCAGCTGAAGGATTAGCAACAGAGCTCTGGGAAACAAGAGAATCTTCCAGCATGACAAGTACAAAGCCACAACCGCCGTGTTTCCTCAAATCATCCAAGAATGTATGATAAACTAGAAGCGAGTATGGAGAGAGGGAGGCGGCTTGTTACAGAGTCTTCCATGGATTTTGCATACAATGATATGGTACCAGAACCCATTTTTATAAAAAATAAAGATAAAATGGTGACGTGTCCTTTTTTTGATCAGCCAAAGAAATAACTACGGTGCATAAAGGGCCAGTAAAGGGGTACCTGAGTCCAGGTAACCCATTTAAAGTGCCCCTTTTTTGTATGCTTTTGTGAAAAGGATAGTGTAGGACTCAGCAGACATGAGGACACTTGGCATTATCCAACCCACTTCACAATATTATCTGTTGCCGCTTGCTGCAACATTTAGGATCTGCCCTCCTCTAGAGAAGAAGAGGGCACAGAGGACATGTGCACTCATGCAACTGGACCAAAGTCACCATTAAAAATAGGTATGAATATTGATTTTTTTTAAGGGTATGGGAGTGCTTCAATTAAGGAAAGAGGGGGAAATGAGTAGTCTGGCCAGTTGGCTTTAACAGTTAGTTAGAACCTGCATGCTCGTGCAAAGACCTGGTCCCAGGTGCTGCGTGTAATTGTGTGCAGCAGTTTGTACTTCCCTATGGGAGGACCAGGCTGCACATGGTTACACGCAGATGCAAACCTACACATCCGTGCAGATCTGGGTGCCCGCACTTGGATGCACACTGTCTGCACCAGGACCCAGGTCTCTGCACAGGTGTGCATACCCGGGCTTGGATGACAAAACACCTGCGCATGCGCACAGGAGTTTATTCATCCCGGCACTGAGATGTGCCAAAAATGTACATTCTAAGACAAGGGTAGGCAACCTCAGCACTCCAGCTGTGCTGAAACTACAAATCCCTTCATGTCTCTTCCTCTGGGATTCATGCCTGTGGCTTTCATTGTCTTGCAGTTGCCTCATGGGACATGTAGTTCTACAACAGCTGGAGTGCCGAGGTTGCCTAACCCTGTTCTAAAGCATCATGCGAGGAGGAAGGCAAGAAACCTTTATTGCAGAAGAGACTTAGGGGTTGATCTACTTAAAGCAATTTTGTAAACAAACTGCTTTGTAAATGTTCTGGCCAATGTACAAGTATGCAGAGGTTACACATCTTCTCCAGGGCTGACAGATCCATCGTGGGTCCCCCGCCTTCTGACTTCCTCTTCAGCCAATGGATGTCCACTGATGATGTAACTCCTGCACACACGCACAGGAATTATGTCAACCCTGGCACCCGGTCCATTCACGGCATCTTAGTGTTGGGCTGAGTGTATACACTGCATGGAGTATGTGTCATACTGTGTACACAGAAATAAAAAATTGGAAAGAAGAATCATTTTTTGGCAGAAGAGACTTTGATTGTCCCTTTTGCCATAAATCCCGACCAGCAATGTTTTCATTTTCCTGACTTGACTTCTGCTTCAAGGAGTATAGGCTGTTCCAAAAAGGGGAACATTTGCATTTTCCCTTAGCTTAGTGAATGAGGTGAATCTCTGCTGAGTTCTATCATCCAATCACGAGTAAAGAAAAATCTTGTAATTTTAATTTTCCTTGCACGTGATTCTTTCCAAAATGAATTTTTATCATAGTCACCAAGCTAAGGGAAAATTCCCTTGTAAAGTAAACATGTTCTACTCCTTTAATAAATCAACCCCATAATATAGACCTGGGCATTCTACGGCACACGGGCAATATCCGACCCTTGGTCTTGGACCAGCGCTCATATATGGCTGTCTGACAGTGGATGCACTGGCTTCCAAGGCCGATGTATACACTGCAAGTCATTGCCCAGCACAGGTCAGCGATTGGTCCGTGTCCGGTTCCTCTTCAGTGCTTGGCCGTTAGGACCACTACCATCCTAGCAACCAATGACATAACTGGTCCTGCTGTGCACCCTTTGGTTGCTAGGACCGCTGGGCGGTCCTAGCAACCAATGGCATCAGGAGTCCTCTAAGTCTGCTGGGCGGTCCTAGCAACCAATGGCATCAGGAGTCCTCTAAGTCTGCTGGGCGGTCCTAACAACCAGAGACCAATTCTTCCTGTCCCCAGCTTTACACCATCCTCCTCCTCTGTCCTCTCCGGCATGTGAAACAAAAAAATGGCACATATTTACTATTAGGGCCTGTTCCTATCGGGTCCGTGCACAATACTCTTACCAACCATGCGTGAACAGTGCAGGAGGTGCTTTGCGTTGTCATTGATTTCAATGGCACCCCAAAAGCACCTCCCTCCCACAATGTGATTGAATGCGCCGTAACATGCACTACCACAATACCGCGCATTGTGGTGCGATTGAAAAAAATAGTGCATGCATGTATTGCGGTACCGCACATTACAGCCAGGAGGTACATTTGGGGTGCCATTCAATTGAATGGCAATACAAGGCACATGCTGCACTGTAATGTATGGTACTGTGCGTTAATCATATAAGAAACTGGGACTTCTGTGGAGGGCCGAATTGGTTTGACCCTCCACAACAGTCCCAGATTCTCGTGTGGCCCCTTGCAAACATGAACTGCCCACCCCTACCATAGTATGTCCCTTCCGCCATAAAAAATCCTTCCTGCTTGCAAGTTTCTCAGTTCAGTTTAAAGTTCCGCTTGAAGTGGCCAGAGCGAGATTTCTCCCATTGTAGGAGGCAGCTGTCCAATGCCTATTGTATTCATGAAGCCAGCCGTACCCTTCAAGACGTGTCCAGTCCAGGGAAGAAGGATTTTCTGGTTCAGTTATTCAGCACAAACACCAGAAAGATTTCCAGGGAATAAATATTCTAGGGAGAACCTGTATCTCCGGAAATAAAGAGAGTGACGGTGATGTACGACGCTGCAATCATATCACCAGCCTATAGGATCAAGAACAAGACAAGTGTGCTGGGTGCTCTATTGTGAGAGGGCAATGTACATGGCCATAGTATAGGGCGGCGATATGTGTGACTCCAGCAAGAAAAGCAAATAGAGAGAATAGTCATCTATATATGGGATATATTTATATTGATCATCTATTTATATGGGATATACAGCAGAAGTCATGTATTCTACTACTACAGGGTGGCCACATATATATGTGCAGGTAGAACACGTATGTGACCACACGCACAGCTCACAGGGCATGACATGCAGGAAAAGAGGATTATGTGTGTCGCCTGTCCTCACCATGCACAGTATGAAGAGGGGTCCCCTGACACGTAGCCTCTGATCTCGGGTTGTCTCCAGCATTCTCCCTCCTATCACTCTTCCTCTCCGGCTCGTCTCCTGGACGGGGCGGGGCCAGGCTGCCAGGTGGAAACAGGGTGAGTCTTGTGTACTCCGGCAGGTGTCACATACGTAGATCTTCCCATGACTCACCCCGCCCCCTGCTGGCCGTCTGTGTGTACTACCGTATTGTACCAGGATTATTGATGGCACGCTGACCTCTATGTTACAATGAATGATCTTTAGTTTGATGAAGCTCTATGGGGGAACTAATACAAAATTGAGCAGACAGAATCTGGTAGACAGTTGCCCGTGGCAACCAGTTAACTTATCTGTTTCATTTTCAAAGCTTGACTGAACAAGCTGAGCATAGAAGCTGATTGGTAGCTATGGGCTACTGCTCCACATTCTATCTGCTCCAGTTTTGATAAATTCCCTCCATTGTGCCATGTTCAACTGCTATTTAAAGGAGAACTATGAGGTGAGTGATTTTCACTCACCTCATAGTTCTAGCCGACCTGTGACAATGAGACTGTCACAGATCGGCTCAGTAGATCGGGAGGTGAGCGAACACATACCGTCACTCGCTCACTTCTCGATCCTGTCACGGCTCTCTGCCGTGACAGGGGAGGGGCTGGATCCTCCCCGCTCCGATCCGCCAGCGCTGACTGGCGGACGGGGGAGGGGGCGGGTACAGCTGGCTCTGTCTCTAGATAGGCAGAGCCAGCTGTCACTCACGCAGCTGGGCGGATCCAGACATAATTGTCGGGATCCGCTTCAGCTGCGGCGGTCTCAGTATATAGGGAGCTGTAGCTCGCGGTATACTGAGCCTAGGGTGACGGGAGGACGCTGGTTTGTGTCCTCCCGTTACCCTAAGGAGAACTATGGGGAAAAGCCCTAACCTCATGTCACATTTATTTCAGGGAGTAATTCTTTTCTCAGCATGAAAGAAGAAATGGAAGCCAATTCAACTTGAACAGTTTTATTGCACAAATATAGTACATAAAGAATAGGAAGGAGGGTGGAAGGAAGAATTTATCTTCCCAGAATACACGCCTCTGGTCTTCTGCACATCTTCCTAATGCTGGGCACACACCTTACAACCATCGCAAGACTTTTGTCTTGCGATGGTTGTAAGGTAATTAAAAAAACGTACGATCTGCCCATCTTGGACAGGCAGATTGTACTTGCGATGATCACAAGCCCGCCCCGCTGAGGGGTGGGCTTCCGATGACCGCAATGCTGAACGGGCAGTGTGCGCTTGCGCACAACGGCCCTTCCGGCTTTTATTTTACGAACATGCTACACACTCGCCGAAAATCGTACGATTCTCGGTGGGTTTTCGAACATGATAAAAGGCCGTGCGACCTTATAGTAGCAGAGGTCGCACGCCTTCCACTCACCTTGCGATAATCGTACGATCGTGGGATTTCCCGCGGTTATCGTACGATTATCGCAAGGTGTGTGGGCACCTTAAGTCTTTGGGTCCCTTTGAGGAGCGATGTCATTGCATAGGGACTGTCAGGGTCCGGCTGGCGACGGACCATCTGCTACACTTGGTTAGTGGTCCTCCACATCTGTAGACAGCTCTGGCAGGATACACCACTTGCTGCCCGGAGCAATTTCTTACATTTGCACACACATGATAAAATGTGAATTTTTGGCTAGAAAACAGCTTCAAACCCCCAAACACTGATATATTTTCTGAAAGCTGAGGCCCTGTAGAATGAAAAGATGCTAGTTGCAATTTTTTATGTTGCACAGTATTTGCGCAAATGTTTATCAAACAAGTTTTTTTAGGATAAAATACACTAAAATTACATTTAGTGCACAGAAACTAATGCCCAATTTGTTGGTTAAATATAAAAGACGGGGTCACGCCAGGAAAATAGCTACCAAACATGTCAAGCCCTAAAATTGCGTGCGTCTGTGAAACCACAAAAAGCTACAATAAACACAATTTCCCATAGGCGATGCTTTAAATACTTTTACGGCTCATCAATTTAGTGCTAACAGTGATTGATAGGCCTAGAATGATTGCTTTCACACCAACGCTCGCAAAATATATATAACATGTGTGGCGCAATTTTTGTTTTTGCATGTAGGCGCATCTGACGCGTGTTTGCATTGTATGTGTGTGCACGTGGGGGGCAGGGAAATGTAAAAAAAAAAATTAGCATTTTTTTTTTTATGTTACTTTCATTTTTTTTAACACTTAGTTTTATTGCTATTGCATCCCCCTATGTAATAGCAGATAGGGTGTGACAGGTCCACTTTATGGAGACATCAGGGGGCTTTCAGACCCCTAATGTCACCAAGGGACCCCAAAGAAGCTGATGAAGCAGAGATCTGCTTCATCAGCTTCTTCTTCTGGCTCTAAGAGCCGGAGACTGTGTGCAGTGACACCGGAAGTGATGTAATGTACATCGCTCCCGGGTCCAGTGATCAGAGAAAGGATCAGCGGTTGGAAGCCGCTGATCTCTCCTCCGATCTATCAGGGGAGACCCTCCACGCCGGTCCTGGGATCACACGAGGGACAGATGAGCCTGGGAAGCTGACGGCAGCACCGTAGGGGGCCACCGCACCGCACAAGTAATCCAGTGCCTGTACAGACGCCGGATCGCTTGTATTTAACCAGCAATCGCCGGCTGTTTAAAACGGTACCAAGAACATGGCTGCAGCAGCAGCCGTGTTCTTGTTATAGCCACTTCCAGCGGATGACGCACAATTACGTGAACGCGGGGGAAGTGGTTAAACTGTGACTTTTTTGCAGAACTACAAACAGCTATCTTGTCAGTTTGTACTGGAGGAGACAAGCCTGCAAGGGGGGTCTGTGACTAGTGACAATAATTCTGAAGTGTCCTCCTCCTGTACGTCTGGTGCCAGCTGATTATGATTGAAAATGGCACGGGTTGTACAAGGTCAACAGCAACTTCTGCGATCCTTAGGCCCCATTCACATGTAGCGACCTATTGCGTGATTTCCGCCGCGGTAGCGCGCATTTTTGCCGCGCGATATCGCGAGAAGTCGCCGGCTAATGATAGTCAATGGAGCTGTCTTAGCTCCATGTCGCGCGTCGCAAGTCGCTTCTACAGGACCCTTTTTTCGGCGGATTTTGCACGATTTTACTTTTTTCTATGGAGCCCGACGGAGAAGGTCGCGCTACTGTCGCTGGATCGTCGCCCCGAAAGTCGCGCTATCCCGGCCGCTGCAAAGGTAAGTCGCTACATGTGAATGGGGCCTTAATGATACAGAACTAGATTTGTGTTATCTGCACAAGCACACAATTTTTTCATGTTTAATTTGCCTCAAGAGCCCTCCTAGTGGGGCCCCCTTCTGCCCCCAGGACCCCATAGCAGCTTTGTAATGTGTTATGCCTATTGTTTCGCCACTGCCTATCTTGTTACCACATCAGAATGGAGTTAGAATTCTTGAAGTTAGTGGAAAAGTAGTCATATCTATTACATGTAGGGATGCACTGATACCGTTTTTTTGTTATCAAGTACGAGTACTGATATTTGTTTTCCGGTACTCGCTGATACCGAATACAAGTACCGGAAGTCTCTTTAAAGAAGCCTAGTGGTGTAATGACTCACCACCTGGCTTCCTGATTGGCCCCCCGAAAGCCGGCTCCATCCTCCCTCGTCACTTGGTTCCGTTATCGGAATAAGTATCGGGAGTATTTGGGCGAATATGAGTACATCGTCACTGATACTGTTATCGGTATCGGTGCATCCCTAATCACGTGTTTTCACCATACACCTGTTAAGCCAATCTTGATTTTTTTTTATTGAGATGAGCCTGGGCTTGGTGAAATCTGAGTTTGCCCATGCCCGCTCAAAACTGTTAGCGTTACAACCCCCTCCCAGCCCAATTGGTGGCAGTAGTTACATTCCCCTTTGTAATGTATAGCTGGGGGCTGGGAAAGGGGCTTCACCGCAACTGGTTGGGCCAGGAGTAGGGGGTGGCAGTCAGAGTTGTGAGCGGGTTTGGGTGAACTATGGTGAACTGGGTCCGCACCAAGCTGTACACCGTACATTCAAGTGTTGTGCGGTACCATGCAATAATTGCACAGAACCGTGCTATTAACGTGTGGACCAGGTAGGAACGGGCCCTTATTGTTTATCAGCTACAACACAATTTTGGCTACGTTTTATACATGTCTATATTGTTAGCTGGAGGGGGCACCATTTCACACTTCCCCTCAGGCAGCAAAAATTCAAAAACCCCTGGGTTGATGGACACTATTCTGCAAGACTAGCTATAGTGTGCTCATTTGGTGAACGTGATGAAATCCTCTCTCCCTGAAAAAAAGTTCTAGTGGTTTTTAATGTACAATACAGTGTGCAGATTTTAGCATTTGGAAGAATGTAATGTATTGCACAGTGTATAATGCTTACGTTTGAGGCATGCGGTGTATTGCACATCATACAAATGTCATTACATCTGCAGTCAGTGGAGAAGTTCCCTCTTCCAGCAGCAGTCAGAAATGTTCCATTCCAGTGGTTTTTAGTAGGGATGCACCGATACTAAGTACCGTACTCGGTACAAGTACAGATACTTTTCCAGCTCCAAGACTAGACTAGAGTACAATTCAAAAGTTAGGAGGCAGCTGTGATGTATAAGGAGCACACAGAGCTCCTGGGATTTGTGCATTTGTTTTAATGTACGATTTTGTTTTTATAAATATAAATAAAGGGATGCACCGATACCATTTTTGCAAATACAAGCACTGATACTTGTCCAAGTACTCACAGACACGAGTACTGATACATTTTTGTTTATTGCCATGAGTTTTTCTAAAACACTATAGATTAATGATTTCAGGACAGTGGTGGAGCGCCAGGGGCCTGTCGCAGCTGCAACCCTGGTAGTTCTCATGAAAATGCCAAGTATCTGAACTGGTATCAGTGCATCCCTAGTTTTTAGTATAGAAGTGTCCCTGGTTTAAGGAACACATGGTGTGTGCAGACTGATTGATGGTCCATTCACGCCAGAATGCAGTGTCCTGCAATGTATGTGTTGTTGCACTTTGCACTGTTTATAGGCAGCACATTCAGAATGAACCAGACACTGTTTTAGCTTTTTTTTTATTTGTCCATTCTCAGAGCAAGCCATTAAAAAATACCAAAAATGTTTTTGAATAAAGTTGTTCTTTCATTGGTAAATAACCTCGACCTGCTTTGTACCAAAGACTTCAGAGAAACACACATACACTAGTGTGTGAAAGAGACATAGCTACCTTGAGTGAAAGACAGTGAAAGTGTAAAGGAGACGAGAAACCTAGTGTGAGCGAGAGAGAAGACACTGTAAGTATGTGACAGAAAGACTGAGGCTGTGATCCAGAGACAGACCATCTGTGTATCTCTCACTCTCACTGCAGCAGCTCCTACTGATCTGATTTCCCTCCTGTTACTTCCTGTGTCTCTCTGTACCCCGTGATCTGTGTAGTCACATGGTTCACCTGGTGACATCACAGATCCCTCCTGAGTACGAGATCTATCTTCTACCGATATAAAACACTGACACAGCGGGCATATGTTCTATCAGCAGCGGGAGGAGTCAGCAGCCAATGGGAAGTCTTGTTTCATGACACTGTCACAGTGCCGCCATCAGAGGGCGCGGTGCCGCCTGTGTAGTTTCCGGCTCCGGAGCGGCGTGCAGTGTTGTCCTTGCCAGGTGCTGTAGTCATGGCCGGGAATAGGGGAGTTCTTATATTTGGGGGGTTTATTGCAGCAATAGCCGCAGCACTGTACCCCATCTTCTATCACCCCGTGACACACATAGATGAATACAGTAAGTGGTACTTGTATGTGTGCTGGACACCTCGGGACCTGGAAATGTAATGACCTGTCCTGCCATGTACTCTTTACACACATAATTGTGTCACCATATCTGGGTACATACACAAGGGTTGTCACCCAAAACGTGAGATCCTGCTCAACAATGCTAACTAGACTTACTATACACAGCTATGTTCTCTACCCCCTCCATACACTCACAACTGTATCCCCCCTCTATACACACAGCTGTACCCCCTCTATATACAGACCTGTATCCCTTCTATACACACAACTGTACCCACTAGTCCCTTCTATGCACACAACTGTACCCGCTAGCCCCACTATACACACAGCTGTACCCCCTCCCCCCACTATACACACAGCTGTGCCCCTAGCCCCCTCTATACACACAGCTGTGCCCCCTCTATACACACAGCTGTGCCCCTAGCCCCCTCTATACACACAGCTGTGCCCCCTATATACAAACAGGCCTTAAAGTTAATGTTTAAGTTGCTTAAATGTTGTCTTCTTTGGGTCTTCCATCCTCCATCAATATGACATTTTATAATGTTTTCCGTTTTCACTATATTCTTTTTTTTTTTTTTTTTTAAGACCTTGTACTGTTATCATTGGGCCTCTCTGCTTCTCTATGGAATGCAGGCAGATTATGGCTGGCAAAAGGGACCAATGGGGTGTTGAACATAGCTTCTTGAAAACATTACAGCACCCTGCCTCAGTAGTCCTCTCAGGAGCCCTCAGCCCTGATGCAATTATCAAAATGCCTTGATATGTGGATGTCATTCTGGAGGAGTGGGCATTCCTAGGCTGAGTGTTTGTATGCAGACTGCCCTAGGAAATGCCCACATAAGATGCAGAGCCTCCACGATTGCAAGAATTAGAATCCAGTTAGTGAAAGTGGCCATCCAAGGACAGTCAGGCTGGGGAGGAAAGTGCTAAATGATACAGGACAAGCTCCAGCCAGTAAATGAGGCGGGCTCTATCTGGCTTGCTGCAACTTCTAATGCATATAACCGTAGAAGCTGCTGCAAGAAATCAGAGGAAGTCATTTCAGTACAAGAGAGTAGCCTGTATAACTGTAAGACTGGAGCTTAGGTTTAGGAACTGTAGGCTGTACCTCCTATGTCCTAACGTTTATTACTAGGTGCATACCTGTGAACGTAGCTGCTGGAAAATGCTGCCAGCTAAAACCCTGATCCTTGTAGCAGAGCTGCTGTCTAGCACATAAAGTACTGAATGTTATAGCATCAACGCATGGTAATGCAGACCTTTCCCCCCAAACCAAAAGAACCCGGCTGCATGCTGATTTTAAAACATCTGCAAAGGTTTCTTAAATGAGATTTTTTTTTTGTTCTTAACCACTTCAAGACCAGGTGTTTAGACCCCCTTCCTGGCCAGGCCATTTTTCAGTATTCAGCGCTACCTTCCAGAGAGATCCTGTGTGTTAAAAAAAATTTCCCCAAGACCTCGCAAGATTAGAGACATCTGAAGGGGGGGTTGTTTTGTGCTGAGATCTGGCGCCAGTGTTATCAGTGGGCCAGCACAGAGAACGTGGAAGAAGAAGCAGGCCACTGATGACATTTACAACAGGGGGTAGAAAGCAGCATTAGAAAATGAGAACAGTGCAAGGGATAGGCCAAGTAATAAGCGTTTTATGTATTTGTTTTAGCATCGTGATTTCAGTAGTGGTGGGGGGGGGGTCGGGGGGTTTGCACTTAAAAATTTAAAGAAAAATTGATATAATAAAGTTAGCTCAGCTGCAATTGCAACAAATTACAATGTATCTTTTTTTTAACATAGATCCTGCTGAAGCAAACCTGCAAGAGAACTATGGGGGTAAGTGTTCCCCCATAGTTCTCTTAGGGTCATGGGAGGACATAAACTAGCGTCTTCCCGTCACCCAAAGCTCAGTATATTGTGAGCTACAGCTTGCGGTATACTGAGACCGCCACAGCCGGGACAGATCCCGACATTACTATCGAAATCCACCCAACTGCTTGAGTGATAGCTGGCTCTGCCTATCTACAGGCAGAGCCAGCTGTACCTGCCCGATCCCCCGTCCGTTCCTCCACTCAGCGCTGGAGGATGAGAGGGGGGAATCCCTGCAGGGAGCCGTGAGTGACAGTCACGGCTCTCTGCAGGGATAGATCGAGAAGTGAGCGAGCGCCGGTATGTGTTCGCTCACTTCCTGATCTACTGAGCCGACCTGTGACAGTTTAATTGTCGCACGTCGGCTCGAACTATGAGGATGAGTGATTTTCACTCGCCTCATAGTTCTCCTTTAACCTCTTTCCTAGTTTAACCCTTGGTTAACAGGGGCAACAGTGTATACTTGACCCAGCTTGTTGTTTGATCTGTTGGTACAAGTTAAGAATCAAATGAAAGTCTGATATGTGTGCACTGATATCCTCATGTTTCTTTTGTAGAGAAAGAACAAGCAGTCAATAGAGCTGGAGTTGTACAGGAGAGTGTGCAGCCTGCAGGTATATAAAACCTTCAAAGCCTAATCTGCATGTTCCGGGTCAGCTATTCAAAATGCAAAGAAGTTATTTATTCAGGATAACGGCCAGGCAACTAGCATTTCATATAGAGCGTTCACTAGTAGCAGCCTACATAGTCACCTTAGTGTCGGGTTCTTTAAGAACAATTGCCAAGAGCCTCTTATGCAATAGTGATCCACTTAGCTTCCATTATATCTGCAGCAAGCAGGACCTCAGGCATTCAAGTGATTGCAGGAAAATGGCTTCTTGGTTTTTCAGTTTCTTTCTCTCTTGTAGTGCAGCTCTAATGTTGTAGTCCTCCGGCCATCCTGTGCTGCTGGCCTTTTTATTTAGAAAGTTTGGTTATTTTATTTAGAAAGAAGCCACGTTTCTACCATCTGACATCTGTTTGTATGAAGGGCACATTTCTATTACAGACTCCCAATACCATCTATGATCTGCTATGTCAAAAGGCCAGGCTATTGTTGACAAGCTTGGGTCCAGTGGTTGAGGTACTGCTCCTCTAAACATTGGGTACCACTAAAAATGTCTACGTTCTTGGCCAATAGTTTACATTGCCCACAAATACCACAATAGTATTTCCAGCAGCACCCAGCACTGGTATTCAGGAACAACTGCTTCACAATGACCCATGAAGGTAAACACAGCACTTTGGGGCCGCAGTGTGAACCATCCACCATCCTTCCCACCCCTTCATTTAGACAGCTCCTACTGACAATGTGTGCTACAAGTGATCTTGTGCTTTGAATCTCTCAATGATGCAGTTGTAGAGTTTTAGCCGCTCTGATCGCTCTTGAAAGGCTGTGACGCACTGCACATGAAGCAGTGGCGCGCTGCCTTCGCGTGCAGTGTGTCATGTAATTTTTTTCTCCGGCACGTCAGCTTGCGAGAGCTCGCATAGCTGAGCGTGTCGAGATGAAAAATGTCATCTTCAGCCAATCGGCTCGCGTGTATAAAACCGCGCATTATGATGCGAAGTCCAGCAAGTTGTTACGCGCAAGCCGATTGGCTGAAGGTTCTGTCATTTATCTGCCTGCGCTCAGCTCAAACACTGCACGGGAAGCTCAGTGACTGACAGCTTTGCTTCACTCTCCACGGCTTAGTGTGCAGTGTGCCGCAGGCCTTAAATGCATACAATGTTTTGAGGTGAAGTCTTGCAGTCTGCCCATATACACTGTGCTCTTATTCAGAGGACTACTCTCAAAAAAAACATACTGATAGTCTCTTATGGTTACCTTTCTATTAACCCACTACCTAAAAGCGGACCAATGTTCACCTCACCCCTAGTGATTCCATGTTCACAAGCTTCCTGGCAGATGCCAACATCTTTGCCCTTTCTCCTTCTGGGTTCAGGATCTTCGGCCATCTTGACTGGCTGTGCAGAGATGACCTAACTCCTGCACATGAGCTGCTCAGTGTACATTGTCAGTAGGTAGGCAAACAAGCAGGTAAGAGTCTTTTACTGCAGAATAGACAAAGGGCGTGATTTATAAACCATTTGCATAGGGAACAGTTTGAGACAGTACAACATATTATGGCCACTATGTGGAGCCAGGGAGCATAGGAATTTTCTATGCTTTTGGCTCCATCTAGTGGCCATATTGCTTTGCGAATCTGGTTTGCGTTGCTGTTTGCTATACAAACGGTTTATGAATCACCACCATAATATGTGTCTTCTGCAATAAAAAGCCTGCCTGATTGCCCCTTTGAACTCTTATTTAAAGTTCCCCTTTAATTCCAACTACACAACCTTATGCTTATACAAAAAAAAAAACTTCCAGCTGTTGAACTTTAAAAAAAAATTTTTTAAATGAGAACTGTCTGTGGGGCACAATGATCAAGTAATTTGGGTACGGGCCTGTATCGATGGGCTTTTTTTCCCCATTTGCATTCCCATACAAGTCCTATAGGTATAGAAAACCCAGTAGAAGCAAGTCAAATGCAGGCCAGAACAAGGTCAACTGCGCCTGTCAGAATTTCAGAAGCATCTCAAATGGATGCCATCAACACATGTAAATCCTTACAGTGAACTTCTCTTGTTTGCTCCCATTTGGTCTGTTAATTATACCATTAAAATTGTTTTGTCATATGTGTTTGATGTGTGCAAAAAAAGTACCTGTTGATCCTGCCTTAAACCTTGCGAGGAGGTAAATCTAATGGAAGGAAAATCCTGAAAAACGTTTGCACAGTATTGTAGATGTGCGTTAAAGAAAAACTCCGGGGAAAAAATGTTTTAACCCTTGCCGTGTGGACCCTCACACGGCAAGGGTTAACTGCTCGTTTGTGTCCGCGTGCTAAAAAGTTATAGTCACCTGATGATTCAAGCCGGCTTGTTCTTAGACCGGTCCCTGCAACCTCTCTCCACCTCCTCTGCAGTGGTCTAAGAATCCTTTGTGTCATCATGTTTTATACAAGTGTATAGAAATGAGAACATTACATCTGTGCAGAGGAGGAGACACATTTTAGTGCCAGGGAGTCGGCTCTGAGGTTTGGGTGAGTATATCTTTTTTTTTTTTTAGCGCCTAGACAAAAACCAGCACTTATCCCTTACAATGCGGGGGTAGCCCACTGCAGGGGTTAATAAAACGTTTCCCTGTGGTTCTTGAAGATGATTTTATATAATATGCACCCCAACACTGACTTTGTACTTGTACCATTACTGATAGAAGAAACCTTATTGTGCATTTCCCTTTGATTTTTCTTTAGGGCTGAAGGTATGGTCGGACCCGTTCTCCAGGAAGTGACGGAAGCTGCACAATAATGTAATGGCCTATGAAGCTTTCCGTTATGACAGACACATGATCACTATGGATTCTGTACAGATCTAATAAATACTGCTTTTTGCTATTTTTGATGGAATTAGTAATGTAAATATGTTTACAAATATTATTTATAGAAACATTGTAAAATGGGAAGACAGACACATAATGCAGTCATGATGCAATTGTATAAATAAATGTAATTTGTACACAAAATACTTGTGTGCCTGTTGCTTGAGCAGTGACACCAAAGCTGTTGATTAACATTACATCTGGTATACAATTCAGTGATCATTATTCTTCCTATAGTCTTCTCACTGAACTCGATCACGATGATCAAGCGGCATTAAAGAGTAGCTGAGCGAGGAGCAGAGCGGTGCCACTGTCATCCTGTCAGTTTCTGGATGACAGCGGCTGTGTGCGTGGACGAGCGGAAATTGAGTATCTCAAATCTGTGTCCTCAATTTCTTTTTCTATTTCAAATGGGAAATGTCAAGGGTCTGTTTAGACACCTTATATTTCCTTCATTTAACTGTGGCAGCGCATGGCAAAGCGTTGTGACGCATTGCCGTGCCTTGTGATACACTGTGTTGCAATTAAATATACGCCTGTATCATTTTAACACAACACCAACACAGCGCAAAAACGATTTGTTAACACTAAAAACTTATTTACAGTTTTGCATTCCTTCATTTGTTTACCATTTTGCACAAAGGCGCAATTGAAAATGGACAAATATTTGTTATTTATTAACTCAATACAGTTTTATCTTTTAGATTTAGTCTGAAAATATATTTTTTTGTGCACTGATACTGATTATAGTGTGCTTTATCAATTGAATTGTGTATTTTTATCGGTTTGATATCGATTTGATAAACATTTGCGCAGTTATCGCAGGGCCTATAAATTTAGTATCACCATCTTTTTATTCTACTGGGCCTGCGCTTTCAGAAAATATATGGTTTGGGGGGTCTTTTACAAACGCTAGCAACGGAGCAATAAGAAGTCAAGACAATGGAAAAAATTTCAAAAATGGTGTGGCCATCTGAGGTGTAAAGCGTTCCGGAGGGCTTGGCAGCAAAAGGGTTAATCATGCAGCAGCAAAGCCATAGGGCCGGGTGCTTTGTCCTACAACGAGCGCAGAGAAAAGGATTTTACGAGTATAAAAAATTCTATCTTTTTTAGTTTTGATCCACGTTAGGTAACATATCCTAAATAATGTGTACGGTTACAGCTATTTAATACCTCTCACGGTACTCCACTTTACAATGCCTTCATCTGCTTTTTTTTTTTCAAGACATTAAAGAAGAATTATGAGGCAAGTGATTTTCACTCAGCCTCATAATCTGAGCTGACCTGTGACAATGAAACTGTCACACGTCGGCTCAGTAGATCGGGAAGTGAGCGAACACATAACGGCGCTCGCTCACTTCTTGATCTATCCGTGCAGAGAGCCGTGACTATCCGAGTGTGTGTGCGATCCTCCAGCGCTGACGGGGGAGGGGGGCGGGTACAGCTGGCTCTGCCTCTAGATAGACTCACGCAGCTCGGTGGATCCAGGCATAATTGTCGGGATCCGCTCCGGCTGCGGCGTCTCAGTATACCGCGAGCTGTAGCTCGCGGTATACTGAGCTTTGGGTGACGGGAGGACGCTAGTTTGTGTCCTCCCGTTCCCCTTAGGAGAACTATGGGGAAAAGCCCTAACCACATAATTCTCCTTTTAACTTTTTGGTTCAGTCATCATCCAGGGTCAGCACATACTTCATGGACTGAGATAACAGTAATGTGCATCCTAGTACCTATGAAGTTCCTGGCTGTGTTCATAAATGTTTGACAAAAATCTGCCTCACATTATGACTTGCTGCAAAGTTACAGTGTTGCAGCCAGATCACTGAGGGAGAAGAGACTGAGGAATTGCTGCCTGTAACAGACTGATGACACCATCACAGCAAAGTCACTGACTAGAAATCAAGAACTGCTTCCTAATGATAAAAATATCAGCTTTTATGAAGACCGATACTGTTGCTGTTTATTGTGACTTGTCGGTTACTGAAAGGTTCAATTTAATAAGTGATAATAATATTATAGACCCCATAAGCAATATGACAACTCTTTGCCTTCAGAACAGCTGCAGTCCCCAGGGGGGTAGACATATAGGCTCCAGTTCTTGAAGGGACGAAGGAAGTGGAAATCTACTTCACATTCTGCCCTCCTAAACATCCCATATGAGTTTATAGACGCTCAGACCTGCTGATTGGCGAGGTTATATTTTGGCTTTCTTAACCCCAGGGTGATGTCATCTTGATTTTTTTTTTACCAGCATGTATGAGGTCACTGTCATCCCCGAATATGTGAATGGGAGGGAATAAGTGTTTGCACCTAAATATGCCCATTGACAGTTTCTGGTTGGAAAAGATTAGAATGTCTATATAAAGGGTTCTTCTGTTGATGACTATTCATGTTTAGGGTCCTGGCCACAGACAAGGATGTTTTAGTGTGGTCAGATCATACCTGCATATATATTGGGTGTTGTTTTGTTTCAATGATCACTTTATGCAATTGAACATGCCTCCAGAGACCCAGTCTGTATGAACAGTATGGCAACTTGCTGAGATGGAAGAATCCACAGACAGTGGCAATCCACCAAGAAGACTCACCAAGAAAATGAAGTTTATTTTAGACTTCGCAAGTTACAAGGATATTTTCTGGGTGTTTTCTTGCAGGTGAAAGAACATGCCTTCTACTGCAACTTTATGGAGGGAAAGCTCTTTACTCTATGGGGGTAAAAATTAAAGTAACAGATAACATGGAGAAGCAGGATTTGGCAACTAAGGGCTGGTCTAATTGTGCATAATAGGAGGGGAGAATCAGTGGAATATACCAACGCACAAATAATAGTAATACAGAACAAGAAAAGCAGGCTGCTGGAGGCAGCACAGGTGAACTTAGTTCTGTTATATGTCTTTATATGCGTTAGCGGCCTGTATACGACTTGCAGTGGTCCTAGGTGCTGTTTTAAAATGGCACAGGGAAGGCAGCTACCTGTCCTATACTATTTTTCAATACCACCAGAAATCAGAAGATCCAGTGGGTCCCTGCTGGTTTGTAGGATGGAACCGCCAGCTGTCAGTGACATCCAGCACTCAGCCCAAAAGCTGAAACGAACGAGCTCAATCCGAAGCTGTCCCCCACAGTACTTTTCCTCCACAAGATGTCCTTAGTCTTCCAGGCTGAATGACCGCTAGCATTATTCCATCCATTTTCTTTGAGCCCAGGCTGTCATGTCCCCAACCCAGCCTGTGACAGGTAAGTGAGGGAGAAGCAGCACAGTGATGAGTTCATCTTTCTGTTGCTTTCTGCTCTTCCTATTACCATGTTTCAGCAGTGGAATTGATTGGTTCCCTGTGCTGTCTCTCCTACTCCGTTCTTGCTGTACAGGAGACTGAGAATCTTGTGCCCGGTCAAATTCAAGTACAAACACTGTGCAAAAAACTGTGCAAAAATGTATAAATTTAATAATATAAAGGAACACAGAGCTGCATTAATTTGTCCTTTATATGAATAAACGAGAATGAACTGTAATAAAATCTGATATCATAATCACCAACAGATGGAGCAAGCAGCAAACATTTCTCTGGCTTGACTTTAAATACCACAGCTGATTTTCTATTGCTACTAGTTTACTTTGTGAGCTATGAAAAGATAAATGGAAATTCTAGCTTCAATTTTTTCCTCTTTATTATGCTAAGGCAGTTCGCAAACAGGCCTTAGGTTCCTTGTGATAACTGGTAGGTGCCAATAAAGTATATTATAAGTAACTTAAATGGCTCTAAAATACATTCAGTATTCATGCAATAAGCCACACATTCATTCTTGAATCATTTTATCAGGGAATATTGTGACCGTGGATGAAAAAAACAGAACATTTCTAAGGTCAGTTTTCTTTATATAAAGCACAACAAATGTAAGGAAGACCAGATGGCTGCTTGTAACATGAGTGAATTGTATTCATGATCTACATTGACAACCTAGCCTTGGAGACTTTAAAGGGAACCTGTGCTTCCAAGTTCCTTTGGTGGTAGTAATGCCTAACATCTGGACAAATATTTTCCTGAAAAGGTCTGTAATGCCTGAATAGGCTCTTTCAGAGGGATTTATATAACCAGATGAAGGTCCTATAGTCAAGATTGATCTTTAATGGGTGGCATCAAGTTTTGTCAAGTCCATTAGAGAATCGTTTAACTAAAGGGTCTGCCAAAAAGAGTTCCATTCAGAAACGTGTTTGAGTTCTGATAGCTACAGTATACTCTTGAAGGATAAGTGCAGGTTTACGATTTTTAAATGCTTGGGAATCTGAACATTTTTGAAGATGCTTGTTATTTCCTTTTGTAAATCTTTTTATGGTCCTGATGATCTGTGTCTGCTGAAATCAGCTGCAGTCACTTTGGGTATTCTGGAAGCTGTGGGCGCCAGTTGCTGTCAGGATACAATAGCTGGCAGGGGAGATTGCACTGTTTAGCTGGGATGGGGGAATCGAGCGGTTCTCTCTTGTTCAGCCCACTGGCTACATGAGAAAAAACTATACATGTATGGCTAGCTTTAGTAAGGACAGCTGCAAATAAAATCACTTGTAGGACATACAGTCCATGTACACCAGACAATTGTCTTGACTGAGGGAAGAAAAAGGCAAGAACTATTTGCTCTGATGGGTCACATTTACAGTTTTAACAGGAAGAGCCGATCCGAAGACCAGTGTTAAAGATGAACTCAATTCCCAGTCTCCAGAAGAAGTAATCCTGTGACTGTCCCAACTCTTACAATGTACTGCTGTCCAAAGAGGAGGATTTATCTGGGTTTATTACATTTCTCTTTGATGAGAAAATCTCTGATCCCACCTTCCCTGGTTATGTAGACAAATTTAATTATATTGTCTGATTAGTTCAAGATATCCATATTCTTGATTACAAGTTCTAGGTCTTTTTAAATAAATGACAAACATTCTATTTGACATGTTCATGGTGGGAACCAGTAAACTTGTATGTTGGAAAGACCTTCCTGACAAGTCCGAAGATGATAACCACCATCGACAGTTGGATCTGGTCTCTTGAGTGATAGTCATAT